GGGGGCTCCCAAACAACATGATTACAAACAATAATACCAGCAGAGGGGCTCTCTGACAACATAACAAACAATAATACCATCAGAGAGGGCTCCCTAACAACATGATAACAAACAATACCAGCAGAGAGGGCTCCCTAACAACATGATTACAAACAATAATACCAGCAGAGAGGGCTCCCTAACAACATGATAACAAACAATACCAGCAGAGGGGCTCCCTAACAACATGATAACAAACAATAATACCAGCAGAGAGGGCTCCCTAACAACATGATAACAAACAATACCAGCAGAGGGGGCTCCCTAACAACATAACAAACAATAATACCAGCAGAGAGGGCTACCAAACAACATGATTACAAACAATAATACCAGCAGAGGGGGCTCCCTAACAACATGATAACAAACAGTAATACCAGCAGAGGGGGCTCACAAACAACATATCAAACAGTAATACCATCAGAGAGGGCTCCCTAACAACATGATAACAAACAATAATACCAGCAGAGGGGGCTCCCTAACAACATGATAACAAACAATAATACCAGCAGAGGGGGCTCCCTAACAACATGATAACAAACAATAATACCAGCAGAGAGGGCTCCCTAACAACATGATAACAAACAATACCAGCAGAGAGGGCTCCCTAACAACATGATTATAAACAATAATACCATCAGAGAGGGCTCCCTAACAACATGATAACAAACAATAATACCAGCAGAGAGGGCTCCCTAACAACATGATAACAAACAATACCAGCAGAGGGGCTCCCTAACAACATGATAACAAACAATAATACCAGCAGAGAGGGCTCCCTAACAACATGATAACAAACAATAATACCAGCAGAGAGGGCTTTCAAACAACATGATAACAAACAATAATACCAGCAGAGAGGGCTCCCTAACAACATGATAACAAACAATACCAGCAGAGGGGGCTCCCTAACAACATGATAACAAACAATACCAGCAGAGGGGGCTTTCAAACAACATGATAACAAACAATAATACCAGCAGAGAGGGCTCCCTAACAACATGATAACAAACAATACCAGCAGAGGGGGCTTTCAAACAACATGATAACAAACAATAATACCAGCAGAGAGGGCTCTCTAACAACATGATAACAAACAATACCAGCAGAGAGGGCTCCCTAACAACATGATAACAAACAATAATACCAGCAGAGGGGGCTCACAAACAGCATGATAACAAACAATAATTCCAGCGGAGATTTCCAAGCAAAAAAGCTACAATGCACAAGAGAAAGGCATTATAAAAAGGAAGACAGCAAATTACATTAGACATGGGGAAAAGCAAACGATATTGGCAGCAAAGTAGACAGCAAAATAAAAGGAAAGACAGAATGAATCAGAGAAAAACATTACAGCGACAAACAGCAGGAGCAGTAAAGACAAGACCAAAATGAAAGAAATGTAAACATGAACTCAGTCACGAAATCCAATAAGTTATAATCATGTAATTCGTTTGATGTGCTCATGTTAGTCCAAGACAGAACCGTTCTAATCATATCCATGTTTTACTCTTTGGGATCAGATCAATTTCTTCGTGTTTGCAAAGTGAATGATTATACACGAAGATCATTATGAGTAAAAATCACCGTGCCTTCCTTTCCTAACACTGGATTCACTGGAAATTAGACGAAATCTACCGAACGACTTTCTACAGCTATAATTTAGTGCCTGTACATTCCATTTTAATCATACACTCATAACTAATTTATCGCCGCATTACACGATAACAGATGAAGCCAACTTTGACGTGTTTGTAATCAACTTAATTCGTGATATTTGAGATGGTCTCATTGCCTTTTGACTACCGCGAAATGATCTACCAATCGTTCGCGTGCTGATATGATCGAGGTCGCTCTACTTAGCAATTGTGTCAAAGGTCAAGGCAACACACGTAGTATTCACGTTCATTACACTATAAATGACGAAAGGCCAAAGTTACAAAGATTATGTAATTCAACACCACACAGATTAATGTCACATGGGCGTGACTTCATACTCCTATGTTATAAGGCAGAGGCAACAAATATCTTTATGTCGCCAGTTTATCTATTCTTATTTATTCATTTTCGACAATGCATAACTACATAAACAATAGCATAATGTTTTTGAATATAAAATCGTTAGCAGTAGAAATAGTATCTAAGCCGAAATAGATAGACATGTACTTTGAAATAATCAACGGAATAGATTACTAAACAATTCTCCTATGAGAGCGTTATTGTGTTACCATGTCCACGTGCTCGACGTAAGTGAAAGCATACCGACATGCCCCAACGTAAACTTTGAATACATTATATACAGCATCGTAATTAAGTGTACTTAACATGATAGTAGGTCATGCAAGTGTTTGTTATTGTAAATATGTATGTACATGTAAGTAGGCTAACTTGTACGTCATAGCGTCTAGTGATCGGGGTATGTCCATGTTTGTTGTGTGTGGTCTTCGGAACAGTTAAATTAAATTAGTAGTTATCATATGTATGGTTTACATGTAAATATCGTTGCATGCGCACAAGTACATAAATAGACGTTTACATGTCATGTAAAATATCGACAGGTAATATCGTCCAGCTTCTCAGCAGGTACATACGTGTTGTTTTCTCTCTACTTTCCAAATATCTTATAAATATTTAATAAAATACATTTTGATACCATCGAATATGTTGATATCCACGACACGTAAAAAGAATTTCAAATAAAATCGAAAAATTAGAGAAACTGCAAGTAAGCAAGAAAAGCTTAAACGCGAGCCATTTTTCAAGACTCCCGCAGAGCAAGGCACTCTCTCATTTCGCCGAGGAAGCCAAGCATCAGAAGGGATTTATAGAAAATACACAGGGCACCCATGATATTAGTTAAATATCTTCCACCAATCAACAACTATATGGTAGGTAGTCGTAATCATATACGAAACACAGACGCCATCTTGGCCACATACTGGTAGTTATATAATTTTACATGCAATTTAAACACGGAAAACGAGCAATTTCTATTAAAATCTAGTTTTTTTGGACACTAGTATTAAATAGAACGTGGCATGTATTCTTAATGTGTTGAATTTTGTGGTAGTTTCGAACACTTTAACAATGATGATTGTCCAAGATATCGTATTTAGGAATTAGATACGAGCGTAGATCTGGAGTACCCACGGGGTAAAGATAAGTAGTTATATCTCCTGTGGAGGCCACACCCCATTACTACAAGAGGGGGAGGGGACAGGTCAGCCGCCTACAGGTATTTATCTTCCCCTAGGGTCTTATCGCTATAAGCTATCTGTCGTTTTCACAAGAGCGCCGTACTCAATCGCTACTCCTGTTGCGGGGTTTCCTGAACCTTACGAGACGGTAGTTATCTTACAAAGTCGTCACGTGATAACAATTCGTGCGGTACATGTAGCTATCAAATCAAAGTTACATATAAAAGACAGGGGGAGGAAAGAAGGATGGATCGAAAAGGAAAAATAGATAATGTAAAGAGGGATATCATGAACGAGAGAGAAAAACGATCTTCGTAAATACAAAAACAAAACAAAAAATCCATGCACGTACTTGAGTATAATCCACTACCAGGTAAACGCTATAAGAAAGAAAAGTCATTTTGATATACATATGTATTTTCTTTACTGTAACATCAGTACTCTAACATCAAACACATATTCAGTCGATTACAGTGCATGCTTTGTGCACGTCATTATTAACCTTGGGAATTTCATGCTAAAAATTGAGGAAATTAATTTTGTATTGCATTGCTATGGTTACGCACGTAACCACGTACGTGTGTATGTATGATCTATGACGAAAACTACTTTATAATTTTCTGGGACAAAACTAATATGTGTCTAAGGCATCTCCCTGGTACGCTTTGATGGATTAATTAACGGCGTCCTTAAGCTAATATCCATATCCATAATATAAACAGGTTCATGTAGTATGGACTAAGGTGCTACCGAGTTAGATTATTAACAAGATCGAGCTGATTTCTCTGTAGATTTGACCGCGTGCGGTGTTCAGTTTGACCTATGCCGTGACGATTTGAAGTAAAACCCTTACTCCTGACACACGATATTCTGTAAAACGGTTTACATTTTGCGATGAAAATTTGGCTTCAAGTTCCAAAGTATTTAATCTCATCAAGAAATCTCCGGCGAGTACGAACTGCTCTGATTTAATATGCGAATATAGAAATATTATAATGATACTTTATTTATTCCATAACATATAAAGACTGTTCTTATGTACTGAAACAGATTTGAAACGTGTGAAAATTGAATAAAAAAAAACACAGAATATTTGTTAAAATATCAATATATACATATTGAGAAGTTAACACCGTAAAAATGAAATAAGAAAAATAACTTCGCACGACATTTTAAGACTACATATGTATTTTTTGTTAAAAAAGCGGACATCTTATGTTGATAACGGCCCTACCATATCTTTAAGAAACTTGTTTTATTTAATGTAATGATATATATTAATCATGTGTATGGGGGTAGAAGATAAAATCGAATCAGCGATCGTGTCATGAAAAAATAAAGGTTTTGAAAATGTTAAACGAAATAAAAGCTTAATTTATTCAACATTCAGCGAAACGTACGGAAACTGTTTCATACGGTGTACAGGTGACGTTTTGTATATCAACGTAAATTTATAACGGTTATTATCACAACTAAATATATTTACTATGTAACGTTCGAAAGATTGTTTCTATAACTGTACTGTGGTAAATAAGTCGTATATGCTATGGTCTAGAGACTTGGTGAGACTGGGTACTAGCGCCTGGGGAGCGTATATCCCCTCTGCCGACGTATATATATCTGTTGCCTCCACCAAGTAACATGGAATCCTTCCCCCAATGATAGCAGGAGTTCGGGTTACAGCGAGCTGAGGGAGCCTACATCACTTTGTACACATTAGTCACACGCCAGTTCTAAAAACTTGCTCAACTTTGTTGGAGTTTGGTGCACAATCTGTTAGATGGAAGATTTACAAAACTTTTTTCTAGGATATTGAAGTTGTGTATGGATATTTCTACACGGACAGTGTAATTTTACAGGGGAAACTATGCGATTTATATGTTCTTTATAAATAGATACAAACAACAACACGCCGGTGCCTAAATTGTTGAAGTTGTTGTTGTTGTTGGTGCACACTGTAGTTAACCTGTGTCTGGCAACCTGTGTCTGAGATTGTCAGGGATTTGCGGATTATCTTCAGAAATCTCACCAAGAACAAAAGGATGGGAGACAATTTACCTGATCATATCACACGAGTTAATGCTGTATCATAATCCTATATCGGATATGGTGTTATTATTGTAAAAACAGGATTAACATTCACAGGTAGCTTAAGTAATATATACCAAGTGTACATCTCTATCTGGAATTTTACTGATTTGAGTTCCACCAGTAAAACGGTTGGACTCTCGGACTTACTATTCTTTATACGTGTGGGAACTTTTTCCCCAGGTAAGTGTACTTATTTACAATATATTCGAACTACCAAATAGAACATAAAATTTGATTTATTTTTATTTTGCCTGAATATCAAAAGTTCTTTTTGCTATTAAATCGCTTCTTTAGAGACACAGAAATTAATTAATACGGTGTACTGGCAAACATTTAGCATGCTCATAAAGATAAACTGTTTATTTTTATTTTAATTACTGAATACGAGGTGTTCATTCGGCTATTGAACTCTTTGTTCAGGTCATAGATACTACACAATACACACATGTCATCCCCCGAACCCCCCATCCCTTCCTTTTTTTATTTTTCCGTCGGACCCTTCCAAAACAACTTTGCAATACATCAAGCGTACCTTTGACAACGACCGGTTACAACGTTCACCCGTGCCATGTAAACACATACTAGTCTATATGCCAAATGTTGCACACACGATTCCAAAATACACAACAGCATCCAAAACATCCAAACAACAGGTGACGAAAGTTGGCTTGGTGACAATGTTTGGTGCAGGAGCACTGACGATGTCGTAATTTACTGACTACGTAGCTGTTATTATTTTTGTATCGATAAATTATTTATACAAGACTAGCTTTCCTATGTAGTTTTAATCACCGCAATTATTACACAATTTTCGTTTCCTGAAATTTTCAAATTGCAAAATTAGCGTCTATCTAAAAATATTTTCGATATTACTTGTTTTAAAACCGTTAATGATGCTAATTTAGAATGTTTATTACTTGAATCATATCAGATTTCCCTTGTGAACATGTGTCGTGACGGTAGAAATTTTCTAAACGACCTAGATAATTAAAAGAAGACCTTCCAACATCTGTGTACGCTATTACTGGAATAGCCTTTACTACAGTTTCGCACTTTCAATATTTTCTGTATCAAAAGCCAGTCTAATAACTAATCATCTGTTTGATATTGTATGTGTCTTTCTCATTTATGTAGCTCCTAGTTATGCCAAGTGAAAATATCAACAGATTAATCGGCATTCCAATCGTTGAAATATTATTGCATTTCAAAGACAGTAATGTTCATCGCAACTTCAAGAACGGCTTATTATAAAGTTCTTAATCAAATACAACAGTTTAAGGGTACATCCATGGTAAAGAGGACTGTCCTTTTTTCAGTTTCCACTCGAATCAATGACCTTCGTACTTACGTGGTGATATCCGCACCGTCTTTAACATGCAAAGTATGATCCGTGCTTAGCCACAACCTTCCATCCATCAATACTATCGTTGTATCGATTACTTTTGAAATGATTATAAATAATTCAACACAGATAAGTCCCGAGCACGAGCTCGGTGCGCGAGTTTCCGTGAATAGTAACATGGTATGACTACTTCTTAATTAACTCAATTCGCTTTTTTTGTAACTTTCAAAGGTGTTTCTGGATTTCTACCTGTTGGACGTACATCAAACCCACCTGTAACAGTTTCACCTGGAAATGATTAGACGCGGATGAAACTAATCAGAATGTGCTTGGGATTCTAGGATTCCGTGTATGTGTTGGATACTACCATTGTCATCCCTAAGTGTTGAGGACACGGTTAGGGCAACATGAGCCTTGTGTTCCTCAGTATTTTACCTATATTTCTGTGTTCACACCTGACAAGTGGAGACCTTGGCCCACCCATCACCATAGCGAGGTGCCGCGTTAATTGTCTTCAAGTGGTAAGTTTTTAAAAATGTCCATAATGGTTGAAATAAATATCATAAAACTTCCAACTTGCGAATGAAATTAAAGCAGTTATATGATTATATATATATATGTTTAGTGCTAATTTGGGGCTGTTCTGGACTGTTCCTTGTTTATTGTGATTTTGTGATCTTTATTGTGTGACATGTGGAGAAGAGTTTTAACAATTGCCTATATATATATGCATATCTGTTTTGGTGTCGTTGGTTGCCGTTGACTTATGCTCTTCGAAGGTGCCTTATGTCTTTCATATAATTTCAAACAAGAAACATCTGTGACAAAAGAATAAAACGTACAATGTTTATCAAACGATAACACATTTTAAACGATTGATAAGTTTTCAAAGGAATATTCGATGACAGCAGGTACACTGTATCTATTTTCTACCAGCACGCATTTCAAACAACATGTTGTACTGTTATAAAATGAAGTATTGACAATAAAAGGGGAAGAAAAAGCCATCACGCTTTTGCAAGAAGATCTGAAGAAAGTTTTGGTCACGGTATATAACTTTCGCGTTATATGCATGTTTAATGGATCAGGATAGTCTGAACTAGAAATATGACTAGCTCTAGAGCATGTATTACAGCCGAACGATGCCACACCATTGCTCATCAGCCAAGGGCCCCCATCTCCTGTAAGTTACGAGAAACACTTGGAGAAAAGGAAACATATTATTCGATGCCCACTTGTTGCTTACAAAAATAGATCGAGTGTTTGTAAATATTTCTGTAAAGAAAGATTTTATGACGCTGATGGTATATATTAAACGAGAAATACGAAACTTTAATTTGGAACGCACGTTTTTCATGCTACAAAAAAGTTGAATGGAATTGTATTTAAACAAGAAACACATTTCCCTGGCTCGATTTAGACTACATTCATATATTTTCCGATTTGTAAAATCTCCTTGTCCGACCATCTGTATTGCATATGTTTATATTTACTTTCTTTAGGCTGCAGTAAAGTAACTAATTCCATTCAATGTTTCTATTGTAATATTTATACACAATCAAAATTAAAACAAACTACAGTCTATATGTGATATAAAGAAGAGGTTTCATTTGTGTTCTGACTAGCCATCATGTCTACCTTACAATATATCTATACGTATATTCGGTCCAATATTTTACCTGTGTATATTAACGCTTATTGGCAAGCCCTACACAAATATTGATGTCGTATATATTGTTTTTCTGCAGAAAACAAAAACGTTTAAAGAAGATGATAGCGTTCTATAGCTGAGCTTGGAAATCGTAATTCCAATAAAAGCGGTCGGGCATTACCTACATACTAGATATATAATTCCGGATACTTATAGTCTCAAATAAAAGAATATACAATATCTCGAATAAAAGAATAAAACACACCTCGAATTAATGAGTGTAAAATATCACGAATAAAACCATATAAACCATCTCGAATTAAAGACTTAATTAATATAAAATATCTCGATTAAAGAATAAAATATCACCTGGAATAAAAGAGTATCAAATATCTCGAATGAAAGACTTAATTAATATAAAATATCTCGATTAAAGAATAAAATATCACCTGGAATAAAAGAGTATCAAATATCTCGAATAGAAGTCCCATTAAAGGAAATTCCTGTTATCTTGACTGTAATGTTGATTAACATATGCCATATCTGGAATCACCAATGTAGCACAGGTACGTGTTTGTTGATGTTATTGATTAATTGCCAAGTAGTTTTGTTAAAATGCATTAACTAACTTTTCCCTGTTCCTGTCGAGTGTATTGTTAAAAAGACAGCTATCATAAAGTTTATTTTATCTGTTTGAACAACAGTGCATGTGCATTACCTGCACAAATACAGAAATAACCACAGGGAAACATCAACATCATCCCTTGATATTTTTGTTGGATGATGATGCTGATGAGGTGAATTAGACCTGAACAGTTTGGCATGTTCCACACTCTAAAAGTGCCTGTGCTATCTTGAGTATTTAACGGTAGTATGGTCCAACCTTACGCCATCAACACATGTTTCCCACAGAATGTTTTCATGTTCAATTTAAGTGGATTTGAATACTTAAATTTTTCAATTAGAAAAAAAGATAAGTGATAGGTATGGATTTTGCTTACTTAGATTGCAAGTTTAAATATTGTGGCAAGTGCTCTTTCGTCGAATGAGACCGTTGAAAGATGTTGTAATTGACATGTATGTTTTTGTATGTGTAATTATGTTTTGAATTGTCTTGTTTCTTGTTAGTCTACAAATATAAGACAAACTCTAGCCGACGGTATGGATTCTTTTATGTTTTTCTATGTGTTACTTCGATATTTCGATCATCGCTCCCTGCTAAATGCTGAGAGATCATATCATGCGATGTACACTCACGAACATATTAAATTTAAAGAGGACCAGGTGTCATTATATACACACATACAAGTATATACATGTATATATAAATGATGATTCATGTGTGTTTTAACTAGGTAACTAGTAGTCGAGTGTCATTAATTTAGACCACTCATCACATTGGCTTTTTTTCTCTTCATAAAATTTCGCTAACAGAGCACTCGCCTCACTTATACAAGTAAGACGGTTTCATAATACGTCAATGTGTTCCTAGTTATATAAGACTTAAGTGACCTAATTGTAGTTATACAATACGTATACATGACAGAATATCGATTACACTTATCATGGTTATGATAAACTTGATGTTAACGATAAGCTGATTAATCATATTCCAACTATCTACATGCTAGATATATGTATTTTCCTTCGGAATCATAAACTGAGAAAATTAAACAAATAAAAAATAAATTGTGATCATTATTACAAATTCTCCTCACCTCAACCCAAAATGTTTCTGTGTAATAATTCATATTTCCAAATTTATTTTCTTTTCACCAGTAGAAACTATTTAGAAAACTGCTTGGTGTAAGTCTTTCATATTTCGCTCTGATGTTGATAATGATTCAGAATACACAGAATGTCCGGTCGACAATGTCAGCAAAGTAGACTTTATAAAGTGTTGTAATCAAGACATATTTATTATTCACCTACTCTGTCCTTTATAAACAGGTACGTTTTACACTAATGTATACATGCTCTTTATAGACAAGTGTTTGCTACAACATATATATATACTTTAATCACACTCAATGTACACTTATTGCCTTCATTCGGACAGAGATTCGTTACAAGTATGTTAACGCTAATTATAGTACATAGTTTCTCCTTTAAAGACAGGGGCTTGTTACATGTACACTGTATGTAGACACTAGCTGAAATTTATATTATATTCTGTACGTTATAGACAGGAATTTACATATATAAATAAATAACATTGTTTTACATGTCTTAGTCGCAATATAAGAAGGTAGTCATCATGTTATTAAAATTAATGCCACGTTAATTACTTTTTGAAACCAATATGTATATCTAGCTGTGATAATGTCCACTTTGTAAAGCCTGTTTTATATAAATCCTTCGACCTGCCAAGTTTTACAAGGTTGCTATGAAACACATATGGTAGTGCATACTAATACCAGATATCCTTTAAAACCATGATTAAAACACGAATAGTTTTGAAATGGTATATATAATGGTAAGTAGCATCCCTGATGCAAGTTTTTTGTGTTAATCTGTTTTCGTAAAAAATTTTCAAATATTTGCAACCTCTATTTTTTATGAGGAACTGAAAAAGGGAGTGTTTCTCAGCAGAGAGATCTCTTTCGGTTATGAAAAGGAGGTTGGAAATTCTAGACATAGCAGCACCGTAGGAATTTACCGGATCATCAAATAGAAGAATTTGTGTTAAATCCTTACAGAAAAACGCCTGATTAGTGTAAACTAGAAAAAAAAACTAGATTTACATCAGCACTCTCCCTAGGGGGGCAGCGAAAACTTCCTTTCTAAAATCTTTTAGAGATCCTTGCAAAAGTCATTAAAACAATTGTGTATTTTTTTCTAGTGAATTTATTAATGTAATTGTTTTGAATTTCGGTTGGTTTATTTCAGACCTTGAAAAGGAATGCCCGAATAGATGATGCAGTTTGTCAACGGAAAAACAGTTGTCGGATGGTAAGTTAAAGGAGTTTGATTCCCGCTTATATGTGTCTTTTTATGTTACAAAAATACTGGCGTATTGTTCTCTTGTATTCAGTACAAAGTAAATATCTAAAGCTAAAACGGAATGGTAGAACAGATATTAAGAAAGTTCCGTTTTCGAAGGTAAAAACGAACCACAAAAATGCTTCCTTGCTTTTTATGGAGATTCTACAAAACCACATAAGTGAATAACATCTTTCAATATAGATTTATTATCAGATACATTATACTCAAATAGTGAAGTACATCATACAACTGTACTTCAAGTCCTTCAAGAACGCGTCAGTGACTAAATTGCTGAAATGTAGGAGAAGATCGAGAGAATAAATGTACAAAATCACATGGAGCGGTGCAGGAGTCTCAAGATATATGAATTTAAATACTGGATAATAACATGTAGCACATTATTACATTCTGAACAGTGTATATTATGAACAGTGTATATTGGAATGAATTAAAATCTAGCATGCTGATTACAGGGACTGAAGCCAAAAGCAATGTGTACCACCTGTAATAACAAATATTTTACAAAAGGCACACAAGTGAATATTAAAATGAGGCATCACATAGCATAGGTCGATACTAACATATATGTATTATGCTTGCTATTTTTTGCTTTTCGACAATCCCTTGTCGTTCGTTTTTAGAATAAACCGATTTTATGATAGATAAATTACCCAACTACAATTTGTATGACTAGCCATCAATAATTCAATAAAAGTATAGCCATCAGCTGTAAGGATTATATATATATTTTGTCATCAAGTTTCACTGAGTACAAAATCTTTAGATCGGAGTATGCTGTACATGTCCACATTGTTTATACACAACAGAAAGATCTCAAGACATGTGATAAATTAAGGTCAACGATAGACAATGATCTAATTTTGATAATTTCTCGTATTGGTTTTTGTTCGGAATGTTTCAGTGTTGGGACCTGTGTCCATATCTGTTCAGGAGTTATGACGTGTGGGGGCCTCTATGTGACAACCAAGTCAGATGTGTAAGTATAACATGGTACAAGGATGCTAAGAGTGTTGGTATCATATGTTTCACCTGGGTCAGACATGTAAATATAATAGGGTACACACACAAGGATGCTTACCGTGTTAGTATCATGCACTACAAGTAGGTCAGATATGAATATGTTTCGTCATAAATAGGTCAGATGTAAATATGAATTGTCACAACTAGTTGAGATACGCTTAATATGGTACAAATTCGTCGTGTTAATGTCTTAGTAGAATATGTTACAACTAGGTCTGATGAAAGTATAACTGTTCATACAAGGATGTGTTAGTAGAATATGTTACAACTAGGTCAGAGGAAAGTAAAACTGTTCATACAAGGATGTGTTAGTAGAATATGTTACAACTAGGTCAGAGGAAAGTATAACTGTTCATACAAGGATGTGTTAGTAGAATATGTTACAACTAGGTCAGAGGAAAGTATAACTGTTCATACAAGGATGTGTTAGTAGAATATGTTACAACTAGGTCAGAGGAAAGTATAACTGTTCATACAAGGATAGGTTTGTTCAGGGTGGTGGAAAGATTTTCAGAATTGAGTTAGTTTATTCAATTATGCTTACAAAATAACCTATGCATTTGCGTTAAAACACATTTATTTGTCCACTGATCATTTTCATATTATTACCTTTCACTGTTAATCTTTTGATGGAAACAATGCCATGTCGTTGTGATTCATATTCAATGTTAACTCTAACATTTTTTTCTTTTGTAGTACAAAGGATGCAAAACGGCATGCGCATTCAAGCATAAAGTTCCGACAGGTAAGGCTCCCAATTGCACTGGTTTCCCTCGAGGTACATCCACACCTGCCTTCCCAAAACCTATTTATTTTCAACTCGTTTATATATGTAGACCCATAAGAAAACGATTTTATCAAAATTCATAAACATTATACGTTCTTGGGATACCTTGAAGCTTAGAAGCCATATTCTGTTTATTTAAAGAAGACAGAACGGGTTATGTTTTCAGGATGGGTTTCTATGCTCTTCAAACAAATAAACACTTCTGAGTTTAAAACTTCTGGGGTTATGTAGTTTATACAGAAGAAGAAACTCCCACACATGTTGATACGACACTTCGCACACGCATGCATGTGTATCGTTGCCAATATTAAGTGTTGATTAGATGGAGAAGGTGTGCCATGTTGTCATACTATCTCTTACTCTATCTCCAACCCACGGAACACTTAATAAAAATTATCTATCTGTACTATCACCGAGTCAGACGGCAAATAATCACTTCCCACTCCAAATCATTACATCAGACGCAACGGTAACAAGACGATGATTTTTCATGATCATGAGAATCAAAAGGCTGTCTCACAAAGTTATATCAAACAAATATGAATAAACACTCTGTTATGAACCAAGATGTTCATAATGTTTTAATAAAAGAGGCTTTCTTCCATCATAGCCTCACCCAAGCCTACATTACATACTATGTCCACAGTTCGTTAATATATGTGAAATATTAATCATAAACTCATATCACCTGACATTTTGTTTATATCTTTGGTATTCTTTGTCCACCAATATTGATTTTACGATGCACGATATGGGATTGCATATTGTCTTGCTTTAACTTACATGTCAGTATTACCTTCCGTTTTCTTAGAAGATTACTGCCAAAACAGTCTTGCTTACACATGAAAAATTCAGCTTTGTTGTAAATACTACTCTCGGTTGACATTTTTTTATTAAGTAGGTTTACAGGACGAACGTCTTCAATGAAGAAACCCATTATCTCCCCGAACTTCTTTGTCAATATTTTCAAAATTTAATTTTAATGCCTCTTGTGTTGTCAATTTATGTCTGTTAACTTAAGACAATATTGCATACTGTTTCCTTGATGTTTCGTATTCGTTGTTTTATTGTAGGTATAAGAAATAACTGAACTAAAGCAAAAGCTTATGCAGATTTAACTTAACATCATCAAAGAAAACTTAGTGACGTATATCGATTTTCTCCGCGCACCTGCTCGCTTTAATCGAGTTCAGCATTAGCAAAAAATATGCGTACGTAGAAAAAACTTCATTTCAAGTAACATTTCAGGTGATTTACACCGAATAAAAATGGTATGAAATAATTATGATAAGTTCTTTTATCTATATTTTTGTGTAAAGGTCTTCTGAAACTTGTATTTGATGTACATTTCCATCTGCAGTGATTTAGGAAATGGGCTAGATTAAACGAAACCTTTATCCACGTATCTAGTAATATCTTGTGAAACGAGAGCAGCTGTAATTGAAACTTCATCAACACATCGCGGCTGTTTTAGTGACACTGCTTACCATTAAATATTATTTAAAATTTATTCATACCCAGTAATGTACCGTTCTGTGCTTATCGGAAGAAATATTTACATATAGCGATAAAATCTTTAAAAATCATATCCCTATAATACTTGTATGTATACGCTACAACTTCAATATCATGATCGGTTTGGTAATGTGTTTTTCTTTTCAATTACACTTGCTGTTGCTACTGACTATATTTAAAACTGACATACCCTTAATGATGAACAAAACAAAGTGAATACCAACTTTTCAAGACATTGTTATTTGACTTTACATGAAAATATGTTATGTATGAAGCAATGACACTGGAATACAATCTATATAATCAGTGCGATAGTAGTGTTGTATTAGATAACAAGATAATAGCTTGTATATTCTGAAAATGAATTTTGACACCACAGAAATGGTTGTCATAACAAGGACAAACGTTTTCAAAATGTATTATGATTTCAGAAATTAATCATTATGTAAGCAGTGAATATCCTGAAAATCTTGCTTAACTTTTGACTTTTCCACAGTTCCGAAGAATCAGACCATAACTTGGGATTTTCCTGAGAAGCCCTTTCTTGAAGTGTACAGAGACACACAGAGGTGTCAGGTGTTCTGGTCCCGTCCTGTACCATCTGTTCCAATCACGGGAAAGGCGCCGTTTGTGTACATCCTTATGGCACGTGACTCAACTATAAAAGACGGCCATTGGAGACAAGTCAGTCAGGTAAATAACTTCAGTTCTACAACTGTTTATTTTGCTGAAACGTTAACAATACAATTTAGTATTGGTTTTTCATTATGCTTTTCTATATATAGGTGGTTAACATAATTTTGTTTTCAATAAGTGGATGCTATATGGGAAAGCAGACAAGACTGGCCTTTCATTTGTTTGTCATCCATTCATCCATCCATCCATCCATCCATCCAAACAAACAATCCAACACCTGGTTAAGGAGAATCAGTTATAGTACACTGAATTAAATTATGTATATCATACATGCAATGCAACAAAATATTTAATGTCTTATCAGAAAATTAAAACTTTTTTCCCGATTTGAATTGTTATAAGAAAGGATATTGCGTGTGATCAACTTTTTGTTGATACAGTACCCTTGCCTGATGTTTTTAGTACAATACCACTTCAATGAAACATTAAATTCAATGTGATCACAAGCTATCTGAAGAGGTTGAAATGCATGTATGGTTTAACCTACTCTAGTCTGTTCTATACTGAATTCATCACCCCCAATCTTTAAATGGGAATCACTTAAATGAATACGAAGCCCTTCATAAGATGATCTTATTCTATCTGAAAGTCCATCTGATAATAGCGTATTTCCATCTGTTTCAACATAATACTCTCTTTTGCTACCTAAAACTTTTTATGATTAAAACTCGGTTGGGATCTGTACAGATTATTTTTGATTCTAAAATAATATACGATAAGGTTTTTAACCAAATGAACTTGAGCTTTTCGAGATCTCTTCTGTTCCTGTGGTGCTAGATTTAGTTCTCGAGAATGTAACTCTTGACTCTGCCTTGGTCGTCCAATTTCCATCTACTACTCCACTCCTACTGCTAGGAGGGTTGATGAACGCCGAAGTATCCACAGCCATGAATTCTACATCTACAGTAGGGCAAATTTCATCAGATAAACTAGAATTATTGGCTAATCGAGCTTTGGTATCAGCTTCATAAAAGCTACTAGAAATCTTATCTTTGTTGAAATGACCCACATTTAGGCTAACTTTGATGCCAAGATTACCGGTACACAACACTGGCTAGGATTATACGTTTTCCCACCAGTGTTTTGCTGTTTTTTTCTGTTATTTGTTTTACAACACAAGATAAGATTACACGCTTATTTGCATTATAATATAAGTAGTGCTAGACCTTTTTGAAAATGAAGTCACAAATAAAAAGCATATAAAGCCATTACTAGACATTTCTGAAAGTGAAATCACAAAATTCAAATCAAAATTAAAAGTACATTGCTGACAGGGATACGTTTACTTATTTTATTGTTTGGTGGGAAAATGTGCACTTTTAACTTACTGATTGTTGGGTATTGGTCACATGGAGAAAAATAGTGTAATTTAAATTGAAATGTTTTGATATAAAACATCAGTTTTATATTTGTTGAAGAATATACCATATATACCTGCAGACAAGTTAACTCTGTTGTATGTTTGTCGATGGAAATATATCATAACGAAGTTATGTGGTGTCCATTATTACAATTGATATTATACAGGTACGTTTAAGTGATCGCTTTTATAAAACTTCATTCTCCTACATGGATTGGAAATGTTTTATATTTGAAGTGCTAAACAAATTTGTGTAAAGATATGTGTTGAACAATTCAAATCCAATCGTTACAAAGGATATGTAAGTGCCTGTATGTTTCCCGGTGTGACCCCCTATTAGACTAGAGAAATGACTGGTGCAGATGGAAGCTGCTTGGTTTAATTATGTCAAGTGAGTTAGTTTGCCATGGTTTCTATAAAATAGGGCTTCCATTTGGCTTTGTAGTATACTCATTTCATTAAACATGAATTTTTCTTAATCAGCTAAAAAATGAAGTCAAGTTATATCCCATATTGAATAAAACATAAATTCGTTTCAAATCTGCTTGGCATTTACTTCTTGTTACAGTTACTTTTGTTTTTTAGATATTATTACATAAAAAAATACCGCGATGTATATGCGCTAGGCGTATGAGTGGGTAGAAAAACTGAGTGATGACTTCACCATCTGTTGTAGTCAGTCGACATGCTTGTGTGTATGACTTATCCACAGGACTTACGTAACACCATCATGTAAATACAGCCGCCGTTTTTGACAGAGTTTTGAGTGATGTCTACCATCTTCGTTGTATTGATGAATGTGGTATATGTCGAGAGACCGAAATCGCATTCATGATATACTGATATGTATATATATATATATATGTTTGAATGACCATCTACAACTCACGCTTTATTCTACTGTAATAAATCCATATTTGTGAAAATCTAAATCTTGACAACATATTTCAGAAAATTTGTAGCCGTAGTGGTCGTAGAATCTTTTGGAATATTTCCGAATTCGACTCAAATTTTACGAATACCAATGCACAGGTATATGCAGTTTAAGGATGAACCGTAAGAATATGTTATCTTGCTGTACTGTACAAAAGGTCACGTCTACATAAATAACAAGACAAACAGTCTGTATATCAAGGAATGCTATGTTTACTATTGTTGTGCATGGGAAAACCACAAGCTCAAAGGCAGCTGTCAGTGACTGCTCACGAAGTAGACATAGCCATGCAGGTAATGCACCTAGTGTTCCCTGGGTTGCATTCTAATTTTCTACGTCTAATATTGATATAGCCTTGGCCAGAACTACCAAAACACAGGGGAGGTAGTAATCTATGACCACAAACCTGGGACAACACTAGCCTCTGACGCCTGGAATCACTGTGTGTTAGCCCACTGGTGTATAAGTACTTACAATGTGTACTCTAAGCAAATTATTGATACTATTTGTTTATTCTGGTTAATAATGGCACGGTACAACCACAATACATCTTGTTCTAGAGAACATTCGCACAGATCAGATAGGTACACACTTGCTTATTTCTGTTCTTCCTTTTACACAGGTTACACAATCGGTATCCCTATATATAATCAGTTGGGAATTCCCTCTTAGTTGTGCCAAGGGCTCGCTTCTTTAACGATAAAGGTTTAACCAACCCATCACTAGATTGCCAGATGCCCCTCTAAAACACACGCTAGTTTTGAAACACTCGCTCTATAATGGAGGAAAATGAAATACAAGAGACCGTCAAAAGTATCTAATATTCAAAATTATAAATCTGTTTACAAATAAACAAGGTGGCACGTAAGCGCTGTATAAATTTGACATAAAATACCTATCTACTGAAGAGTTTACTACAACACAGAACATTTGGCACCGCCTGTTGATGAGGATGATGATGATGATGATGATGATGATGATGAACACCATGCAGGGGTAATTCCATTGCTTGAGATGCCTCAGCGTGTGGAATTTGTAACTATTTGGTCTAATTAAAATGCGAGACATGTCTATATTCACTGTCTATGGCTATCAGAGAGTTTGCACTGTGCTGTTTAGATATATATATCTTCAGCACGGTTACGTAGGAAATGACATTTTATTCGATAAAATTTTCACTAAGGGCACACAAAATAAAATCGTTTTCTATATCAACTTAAAATTAGATAAGTCAACTTATGAATTAAACTGCATGGAGCAGATCATTTATCCTTTTAAGATTCTTTAGTAATTTTAAGAGCTTGTGTTTAAAAAAGTAAAAATCTAGATGTACTGACCCTTTGAAAATTAGTTAACAACAAAACGTATCTGTATTTAAAGATACTATTTATTTATGTTTTATATCGTTGTTCCTTAGTTCTTTAGTCCTAGTAGTCAAAGACAACACAATTTGGAAACGCCTGCTGTTAATCAGCCTATTCTTTGGCAATCAATCAACAATCAACAGATTTATAGACTCAAAATCGTAATTATGATATTGATATCACAAACTTGATTTTTTGGGTTTTTTTTGTTTTGTTATTTTGGTGTTATATGTAAGTATTTACCGAAGAATGAAAACGAGCGAACAGAAATGCGTCTATGAAGTCATGCATCCAGACGTGTGTGTAAGGATTTCTTATCGGTGTTCATCAGGTAAAAATTGCTCCCGGCTGAAATTTGTAATTAACAACAAAAAAAAATCCATTATTTTGTCTCTACCAATTTATATCACCTCGATTAATCCCATAAGATGTGAGGCAGAATAATGAAGTACGGGTATTGATTGCTTTACACCTGACCGTGATACCGCTTTCATTAGGACAAGCATACACAAAGATGCACGTTAAGACACTGTGCAATACGTACTTTATATGAAACACAACATTATTTTCGTCAAAGCTAGGTCTGTGTTCAGAGACTTTCTAAGTCTAAGGAGTTTACTTTCCATTTTGGTCACGCTCCATTAACTTATGAACCGAACTGGTGGTCTTATACCTTATTGATGTTTTGTGAGACGTAAAATGCTACAACTAAACAGATCATCAGTTCCTGACTGAAGACACCACATATAAAAAATGTGTTCAAAACATTACATCCATATGAAAAATTAATCATCCCGGTAAATGCATGCATGACCGTATACAGAGTACAGGGGGAGTTGGTAATTACTCGAACACAGAACACACCAGAAACATGCACAGTTCAGTAAGTTTACACCAACCATGGAGAGTTTAACTCGAAATTACACAGAAGAGAACTCTTTAACGTGGACTGTGCAGAAAAGCTTAGTTCGGTCTATGTGCACAAAACGTGGTCAACCCATACACTGTCGTCTCATTAGTGTATAAAGTTTTAACTATTTGTACAAAGACACCACCTTGATTAATATGCAGCGTTTTAACATCTGTCTTGCACTTAGGAACCTAGTTTACAGTTGGCGTGGTTGGTAGTTTAGAACATTCCGTGTGTTCCAGTCAGTACAGAAAAAAGTTGCAATCTCTATGCATATGAATCAACATAAAGTAAATTGTTTTATGAATCTATATTTCAAATTTAAATATTTCCCTCGGTACTCATTCTTATAGTATGGATTTCAATTCCAAGCACTTGAACTTTTTCAAAATACTTAAAACAATGTTTGTCGTGAAAGAAATGTGTATTAGCATAGGTAATAGTATATTAATCTTACAAAACCCATTAAACCATACCACAGAAAGTTAATCCGACCCAACATAATCCCAGGCTTGACAGGTTGAACGCGTTCCGATGAATGATGAGAATAGGACAAGGCTATATTTCAAACCTTTAAAATGTATTTGAATATTAACGTTGGAAAAACAGAAAAAAGAAATAATCGTACAATAGAAGATTGAACCAAAATGTTGATATCATGTTTTAGTGTTTCTTAAGATTAACATTTCTTTTACAGACTGCGTCAGAAACTGTTGCTCTAGCTCAGACCGAGCTCCCTTTTTCACCTGAATTCTGGCTCATGGCGGTAAACAAGAACGGGACTAAAGTAGATAACTTTGTTGATGCAGGTTATTCACCTATAGAAGGATGTAAGTTTGTTGTCTATGTAGTTTAAATATATCTCTTCATTCGGTAAAACCATTTACCAGTAACTGGAATAATAGGAGCAGAATTTAATTTTAATTACAGCCGTTATAACTAAATTAACACAAGGACAAAAGGAGGTTTATTTGATAATCTTCTTGATTGTTTTATTATTTACAGCAATGACAGTGAAAGATGTTGACGAAGTTCGGGGGATAGCGTCCACAGGAAAGTTGAATTTGACTGTCAAAATGCTAGAGAGCCATATAGACGGTAAAGTTGAAGCATTAATCGAATGGAACCATCCGACTCACATCCAGTCACATGGGGAACAACAAATAACGTACGCTGTCCACATCTTTCTGCAAGAATGTGGGATCTTTGAGGACAGTCCGCACTGCAACATACCTCCCCAATATTTCGAATATGAAGTGGAATTTCGCTTCTCTGACAAGGTAAAATATTTGTGATATTGAACTTCAATATCGTTTATGACAAAATAATCTCATCGGTAAGCTTTATCATGTAGTATTTTGTTTGCGTGTTCTTTTAAGCTTCAAGCTTTGTCACAATCACATCGAAATACCAGTTGAAGATTAATTTTAAATATTTCTTTGACATTAATGACTTGATACTAACATGACTTTTTGAATGCAAAGTTGTTCAAAAATGAATTGCTAGCACATTTTATCATGTCGTGACTGTTGAAGAATTGTCGTTGATTGGTTGTAGCCGTCGTCGAGTATTGAGGTGATGTACAATGCCCAGTACATGGTAATGGTTGAGTACCAAGACCAGTCAGGAGTGTTCAGTCAGGACAAAGACTTCCTTACGCCCTTCTGTCCTGATGTGGACGAGGAAACTTTTAAGTACTGTCCTCCAGATACGTCGGCCTCTACCAATATCCCTAACGCAGATGATCCGGATTGTCCTCCAGATACGTCGGCCTCTACCAATATCCCTAACGCAGATGATTCGGATGAAGGTTAGTTTTCTTTCCTCCTTCAACAATCATAACGTATTTAATAGATTAACATTTATCTGCTGTGTTATTTTCAAAAACAAAATAAAGAAACAAAAAAAAAAAAAAAACAAAACAAAAACAAAACAAAAAACAAAGAAAGGAAAAACCAAAACATAAACAATTTGTCCTCTGACCGAAAATTTCACAAAAAAAAAAGAAATATAAAATATGTAAAGATTGAATGTACTTCGCTCATTAATATCGATGAAGAACACTTCAAAATTTCAAAATTCTAGTTAGTCAGTGAAATTTAAATTATCGGGAAACAACCTTTACAGTACAAATGATATACAGTTTCGTAATACTCAGAACATTTCCTCAAAATCATTTAACTCAACAGGCGGTATCTGCTTGGCTGTGTAGAATATGTCAAACGACTCTTTGCTGTTACATCATGTTAAAGAGAACAAGATAAAAGATACTAGTCAATAAAGCTACAGAGCTGTGTTGGATTGTAAAGAGGCGTAGCAGATTAGTTTGAACTTTGTAGAACTTATTATGGCGTTTTATGTGATGTGTACACCTCTGTGTAGTAAAAGGTGGTTGTAGATGAAATAATGGGATTGATTATCTAACAAAAACGGCAGGTCTGTATGTAATTAGCGCACATGACAAGCATGGATTCGGCAAACATTTATGTGCTTGGGATCCATGAAATATAGAACTTACCTACCGTATGGTAGGACCGCCCTTTCAAATTAGATTGATGTTTCGTGCTTAACGAAGCATTTCAGTGACAAAGTATGTAGTGAAGACATACAAGAAACAATTGAAGTACTGTTTTTGAGATCGTAGCATTTTGAAATTGCTTAGATCGGTCATTACTACTAGAACATCCAGGTCTGTCTAGATCTTTACATGTACGCACTCTTTTGTGATAAAGATGTGAATCATAGGTGCTTATGTTTTGCACCGTGAGGTTTTTATTTCATTAGCTGAACGTCTCGAGATCAAAAGACAGGGGATTTATTTCAGCACCGCTTTTTATGCTGATAGAGCTTAAAGTATTAGTTCCTGGAGTGCACTTTTGATAGATTAAAAACCGAGTTTAATTTTAAATCGCTTTAGATTTAAAACAAAATCACAAAATAACGAGTAAGTAACAAGTGATTTCAAGTTATGACACCTTGCTCCCGATTTTTCAATTTGATTTCTGGTAACACGCCTGATTTTCATCAAAAGTATAAAATTATTTAAAACTAATTCTCTTATGTAACATAAAATTCGTTATATAAAGATTAAAAATACATATTGTGAAACTTGTTTAATTCGACACTTATCGATATCTAATTCCTGGTTTATTGATAACAGCAAATATAGCTTTGTTATATCCCAAAACTGGTCCCTTACATATACATATCATGTATAAATGTATGTTTTTATGAAGCGTATTTTCATCACCTTTTCAGAAACAGAAAACTTGCTCTGGAACATCCGTTTGGTTCAGATGATGTATAATGAAATTACCAAGAATGTGGAAGCGACTTTCAACTGGACAGTGCCCTTCAACAATTCTAATATATTGTACTATGAAGTTTTCTGGAAAGTACAAGAGACACCTGAGCAAACATACACAGAGGGAGGAAGGCGTAATTTCACAACAACCATCTTCAATACTGCGCTAATCAACCTGGAACTTAAACCACATCTGAACTACGTTATGGTGGTAAGTATACATGGAGCATGTGTGGATGTCTCTCCGTGAATCTGTTTATATGAATAATTTTTCTCCAATAACAAGACTTCTTATTTTTGTATTATTTTAGGGGAAAGTGAAATACTATGATGTCGACCGCTTTATTCAGACTTACACAAGTGAATATCTTTACTTTGATACCAATAACACCGACGCCATGTACAAGGAACCACAACGAGTTACAGATAGTAGAGGTAAATATTGTGTAATCAACATGAACAAAAATAAAACATATGTCTATACATATATATATTGCTATCCAGGACACACCCAAGGACGGCGGTCGTCTGTATATTCATCAATAGAAGTGAGACTGTAAAGGCTACAGGCTGGTATAAAGTGACCACCTGTGTACCCTGGTCACTTGTGTACAATGATCACCTTAAACAATAATTACCTGTATGCAATGCTCACATGGGTACAGTCATCAGTGTTTCCTGTATAGTTGGATTACCTATAGACAATGGTAACAAAGTATTTCAGATATTTCAAAACACGTGCCTTTAAAATCTATATAAATTTGTTTAATCGTATATGCAATTAAAATCTAGGATCACAATGTTCCTCTTTATCCCTGTAATAACTGTGCAATTTATTCCAAGTTAATGTATCTACAGGTAAATATCACCTGCACGATAATGGAGTCTCTGTACGGTATATAAACTCTCAATTTTGTGAGAGAGTTTGTCGCTACAAAGCTGTTTTCATCTGAACAAAATGCCTTTCCATATTGTTGTAGTTTATCGAATTAGATATAGAGTTTACTTCCGTGTATTCATTTTCTAGTCCAATTAGATTCTACTCCACGATTAAGGCTCTCCTCGCAAGTAGCAATCTATAATAACTACCATTATTTCAACATAATGCTGCCTTTGATTTTTTAATAGTTCCTCTGGCAAACCTCCAAATTTGTAAGTTGTAACATTGTAGCATTTAACTCTATGCACAATTGGTGTTCTTCACTCTCTGACAAGGATTTACAATATAATTTCTTGTATATTGAAAGTACACTAAGACTGTGTTTAGTTCACACAGTTAAAACGGGGGCTATGCTTTTTTAATTTTATTTTTAATCAAAGTAGCTTCATTTCATTGTATTTTATCTGTGCTCTTCTTCGAGTATCTAATTGATTTTAATTTCACAATCATTTTATCAGATCTCAGCTGGAAGAACCTGAATGATATTGTGGTTGCAGCCACCTGTATAGCAACGGTTGTCATGGTTAGCCTGATAGTCTTATTCATTTACATGAAACGTCAGAGTTTCAAGGACATAATCATATCCAAAACAGCCGTGGCCAAGAGTAACAGTTACAAGTCGAACGTTGGATGTAAGTACATTGTCACGTGATGAAGTACCGCGTAAACTGATTGTAGTTCCATCAAAATGGAAAATGAAACATTTCCAATGCCTAAACTAACTATTCAGATAAAAACGGCAAAGGGTCTTCACAACTATAAAAAAACGCCTTTTCATAGCAATGGAGTTTAACGGTGATTCTGTTTTCTGATTAAAATATTTAATTTGCTTTTACTCAAACAATATTTCTAAAGAGGGAAAAGAAAGGATCATTTCATGATATAAAAGAAAATAAAAAGAGAGAGTTTATTTAAAAATTACTAATTACTGTTTTACTTTTCCAACCATTCAAGTCGGTTAGTGTTATTAATTGAGAGTAAGCAGTGCTTGGAACTTCATGCGTGCGTTAACTAGGTTTCCTAATGAACAAGACATGTTCAAGCTCTTGAACAAAACATGTTAGATTTGTTTGTGTAGGTTGTTGTGTTAGGTTTGTTGTACCAGATAAACTTTTACGTAGTTTCACTTTTGTATGGGAAACAAGTGTAGAGGGATTAAGTATGCCCTATACATCATCACTACCACTGTCAAAAGTGTTTTATACAACACATGCTACTCCTAGACAGCATCTATCTCTGAAGCATCCTCACTCTCCCAGTCTCTGTATCCCAGGGTCACACAGTACACCAGCTGTCCAAATGTTCTATTTAAGTATCTTGTTATCCTGATACACCGTGAAGTAGACATGTACTAGTCCATGGACTGTTACTCCCTGGAATGCTGCCGTTACTAGTTTAGATTTCCCCTTGTTAGAGAAACGCTTGATAAACACGGATATACGAAGAGAGGAATTTACTGTACCGGACACATCTTTATGTTTACAGCTGATTTGACTAATGCCGAACTATAGAACGAAATGTAATAGGAAAATGACATGTCATATTTTTTTCTGATAAACTGAAATGTCTTAATTTAGCGGTATAAAAAGTATTTGTAAGATCCAGCTTTGTCGGCATATATTTAGCCCCTTACTAGGACAGGTTCGTTCGATAATTCCAGGTAACCAAATCTAACTTAGAATGAGAGAATGACAACACTTGACAGACGTCAGGAGCACTATTACAAATAATCTATGTAACTCAAATGATGATCTGAGCAAAACAAAATTATCCTATCTAAGTTTGACTGTCATTGAACGGTATTTTGGTCATGTCCATACACTAGATACTGTTTTAAACTGGTCATATTTATAGTGTCCGTTCAAATTCTTATGATTATTGCGAAGTTTAAGAAGTAATTTGAAAGCAATACATACATACATAATAAGTAGCTTATTTTTATCAAACTGGCTACAAGCCCTCTCTCCTCTGTTCTAGTGACCGTTTTAGAGTAACTAGTTTACAAGATGACGAAAACAATATCGTCATCAGACAGATTTAGTTTCATTTTATCGATACACATTTTTGTTCAATTATGCTACATTGTTACAAAATAAATTTAAATAACAGAAGTATATTTAGTTTTCAATAACATTACTATAGAATCTAAGTTGTATTGATATTATATTTATTCGACCCATTTATCTTAATTACAGGTAAGGTAGACTATTCTAACCAGCTGTTGGTAATGAGCGACGAGTGGGAATTGGATCCACGATTCCTCAAGTTCGCCAGTCCGATCGGCCAAGGTGCATTTGGAAAAGTCGTCACGGGCTATTATAAAGAGTCGCGGGTCGCCATTAAACTTGTCAGAGGTAGGTAAAACAAGAAATGGAATTCAAAGGAATAACAAAAACTGACCTTTATGATTTCCTTTTTAGAACTTGATAACTGGAATCCTGATTAAAAAGGATTTCATTGTCATCGGTAGTGGAAGGTATGAGAAGTACTTAAGTGCAAGGGGAGAATAAGGTTGTATCGATGTCTATAACAGACATTCTGTGAGTATTTGATGTTTTGGGTTGACAAAGACACTAAGATACAAATGTTCAGAAGTAGGTACATAGAAGCCATATGTCTATCAGGCAAGTGACCCTTATGTTACAGAGGACCAAACATACAGTTACATATGTGATTTATAAGATAACACTGTATGCTATATTAGTATAGTCATTTTATGACTAAGTAAGTGGAGTCATTCAATACATCAAACGCCGTCAATTTACTGACATGGTCGTTACATAACAACGTTATGGCTAACAGGGTCTTTTGGGTTTTAGATTCTCTGACAAATCAACTCTCAGTAATAGCCCGGACATTTTCTTTCACAAGCATTTGCGAAACTGTGATTATAAACAAGCATATGTACGACACAGAATTCGACAAACGACAACAGTGGAGATGCACCAATTCATTGCTCGAGATGCTACACAGGAGTACATATGTCCTAATCGTGTGTGAAAACACGACATCAAACAGCTGACAATAGCATTGTGCTTGGTCATAAGAGTTTACTAAGTGTTTGATATTGTCAGAGAGAGAGGGTATTGCGAGGGCATACGCTATAACATTGTTGTAATGTTGTGCATAACAGCTGGATATGAGTGGTTATCACACTTTGCAGTACTCAAGTCTATGTTTTCTTAGAGGAGTCAATCATTATGGAATCATAAAAAAGTACACTTTTGACGATAAGAGGGGCAAATGTGCTATCAAAATAAATTTTGGTACATGAATATTGAGTTTAGAAGTTTGTATTGATTAATATATTACTGTTTGCCTTTGTTCTGCCGTGGTTAAAACGCAGAGCAGGACACAAATTGTTTACTGAGATGTCTATGATTACAGACGTTCCTTTCGTGAAAACCACCGTTGTTGTTTAATAGATGGGATGAATTCTTTAAATAACATGTACGACATATTTGTATATTATTTTATAACAGCTGGTTTTTTATACATAGGCTTATCATATAACACAAGTGAGTTTTAATAAGGTCACTACATGAGAGCCCATCTTTATATACTTATAGGTATGAATATTTTAATGACCGACATTCCTTTTACGTTTGCATAAAACAGGTGCTCGAATTATCTGAGGTGATTTTATAACAAGTTACAGTGTAGATAGATATATCCTTATATCAGTTTTAAGCTGTAATAACGTTACGTATGACCAGATGAAAGTGGTTAAGCAAATAATATTTGAGTATAACAACTCATGTTATCGGGCCAGGCCGGGAGAGGCGAGAAGCTTATATCATAAGGGTGTTCCATATTACCATCAAGAAAACTTGTTTTTTGAAGTGATACATAATTGGAAGCATTATTACCGAAATCCTTTTGAAACTCATTTTTACTTTCCTCTGATAATTTTCAATATACTTTGCTCTTCCTGCCTCAGCGATAAAAATTCCACTGCTCGTAAATTGCTGTACACAGCTGATGAAAACTGATTCAAGTGTTTTATATGCTTCCGATACTAAATTGTAATTTGCGCAGCATTATGTTTGAGAGATCTTTCTGCATTACGATACTTAATACCATATTATTCATATTTGGAATTTTACCAAATCCTTTACAGAAAGAATATATGTATTAATACTTGCTCGATGAAAACTTGCATACAAGCAAATCCGTCTAAGTATTTTGAAGTACGAAGGTGTGAAATACAGATGTTGTTATATAAATCTAAACAGATGAGAAATATGAAAAACGATTGCCAAGACTTCATATCTTTACTTTATTTAATACGGAAATATTTTGGCAAACAACCAATTTATCAAGATTTTTTTTCCTTTTCGCGTTATTTTTTTATCAACCGCATATTGAATTTACCTTATGGATTGTAGCTGTAAGTTAGACTACACGAAAAGCTATAAAATTAATCTGACATGTATCCACAAAAATGATTTTTACTTCTTTATAGAAATGGCTACAATTAAATAAATCTTAAATTTTCGAAACATGAAATCTTTATCTTTGTATTTATAACGGTAACAGAACATTATGTCATGCTTTACAAAAAATTCATATATATTTATCAGAACATTTTTATGACTGTTAGTTGAAATCTTTGTAATAATAGAGAAACTCAACATGCATCTGAATATTATTACTTGGTATATTAATATTTCTACTATTGCATTATCATACTTCATACCAATTCATTCAAACATTTACAGACAGTGCACCTCTGTCCTACAAAGAGGACCTGCTTGCGGAAATCAATCTAATGAAGAGAATAGGCTCCCATCCAAACATTGTTTCTATGATCGGAGCTTGCACTTTGACAGAACCAATCGCATTGGTGATGGAATACGTTCCCTATGGCAACCTACAGAATTTCCTGAAGTAAGTAGATCATATATGTGTATCCTTGAAGACAGCATGACAACAGTGATACCATTCTCTGTTTTATGATACTTTACTACTTTGCAAAGGTGATGCACGTCCTTGTGTAGTTTTAGTTGGTAACTATTAAGATTAAATTGATTGCTACATTTGCTTGAATATAACATGCTTCAAAATTTATAGAGAATTTATTGAAATGCCTTTGATGTTTTTTTTCATCATCGTTTGTTCAGTAGATCTGATTTTACATACATCAATTGGTAGCATGCCTTGTCAATATAAAAAAAAACACAGACAAGAATAAATTATAGGGATTAATACGAGTTTGTGAATATTTTTTTAATCTTTAGGACACCTGCTATCTGTGTTAACGACTTGTTACTTTTCTAACTGAAGTCCGACAACCTTTGTTAACCTCAAACAACTTAATTCTTTAATGTTATTGTTAGTTGCCTTTTTCAAGATATCCTGTGTTATTTGTGTTCTTTTGTTTAGTTTTGTTTGTTCATTTTGTTCTTTTGGTGTTTTGGCTATTATGTATCTTATCAAGTATTATTAGTTATTATTATCTCTTGTTAGTTCAGTTGTTGTATACCTTGTTCTCAGTTTGGAATGTGCATTACCCGCTTGAATTAAACAAGGTTTACAAAACGGGTGTATTGCTCTCCCGGAACACCTGGTCGTATTCTCGTTGTATTTTTGCAGACCCCTCCGTGTACATCTGTCTTTTGTTCATATTTGCCCCACTTTCGTTTAATTTGATTTTGAGTTACGAATATGATTCTGTTCCAATGTTGGCATTTTCTTTCTTCCTTTTTTCCATTGGTTGTTATTATATTTCAATCCTTTTTTACCTTTTAAAAACGCTATTTACTTACATAGTGTTCTCATTGAGAATTAATCTATTCTCTGTGTGATGCAAAGCTGGATGTACCTGTTGGCTCCATTGTTGTATACCTTGTTCTCATTTGAGAAAGTGATCCTATTTGTCCAAGGTTTGCATGTTGGGTATTGTCGATAAAACAGAAGACGCATTACTTTTCCGGAACACCTGGTCTTATTCTCCTTTAACTTTACCTCGAATCGCCATGTAAATGTTTCTTTTGTTTATGTATTTTGTCCTAATCTTCATATTAATTTATGTTGTCATGTTTATATTTTTTAACCTTGACCTTGTCATCAGAACACATCAATGTCAATGGTACAATGTAGCTTAATGTATATTTAACTGTTATAATAGAGTTGTTTTCATTTACAATAGGTATGTCGTTCTATTGGATAGGAAAATTTAATTTATACAGGTCTAATTTCAAATCAAAAGCTTGATTTACAATCGATAATGCTCGCATGAAATCACATTTAGTCACACCAGTTGAAAGTTAGAATGATCTTCGCAGTAGTGATTTGCTGGTACAGAAATGCATTTGATTATATCAACACAGATATCATTAAACTAGAAATATACTGATTCAATTTCCATATACTGGCCCCTGTGCCAAGTCGAAGTAAACGAAATATGTTAATACGTCATTGAAGACGTAAATCTGACATAAACGTTTGATAACACAGTCTTGGGGTTACGTATTTTAATACAGTGATGGGAAATATTGATATAAAAAAGAACTGACATCAATGATGAGGAGTGTATCTATTCTAGACCATCTATGGCAAAGATAAGATTATGATGGCGTTGCGAGAGAGTATCTGGCAGTTCAATGGAGCCAATTGGTGAATTTCTGTATATTGAGCTAATAAAGCTCTGACTTTTGACACTGGGAACAGTTGCACATCAGTTGCAGAAACCTCTCAGTAATGTCGTCTTTAGGATAAGGGTAATCCATGACAAATGTAAATGGGAGAGATACGAGGGCCGTATCTCTAGCTATGGAGTTAATACCTGTCTGTTTATTTTTTGGAAAATCGTACTACCAGTTGGCCTGTCTGTCGGTTCCTAATGTTTGATATCAGTTAATTCTGACAGCCTGGTGTCAACATGAAGTAAGTGATCTTAGAGTCTTAATCGTTGGCAGACTAAGTTAAAAAAAGTTGTAAAGATAAAAGGATGGCCGGGAAAACAACCAAGTAACATATTATGTACAAGTGGATGTGTGTTTCGGTGACAGACTCAGGGGAGGTTGAGAGAGCTGCTGGCATAGATTTGACTGATGTGGCGGGTACTGGCCTCAGAAACTGCTTGATCTGTTCAAAACCATTATGTGATAATAATACTAATGAAATCCTTGGTAATAGTTGGACCATTGGGTGCTGAATAAGCTCTGTTTTTGTTGGTATTTTCTGATTTAGTATATAAATATATTGTTATTTTTATCTGTGGATTAGCCTCTGAAAAGTTGTCACAGCAACCGTTGGTAATGGTCTGCATGTGATGTAATAGTTTATTAAACATAACGGTTTATCATTTCACTAATCATATCGATACTGATTGTACTGACAGTTGGTATATGAGATGCAATGCTCAGAAAATGCTTTTAATAAGTTAAATAGCAGTATATGCCAGATATATTTCAAATAGCATATAAAACATGCAAAGTATTTATGCTTCATTAACGTGTTTAAACTGACATTCTAATAAAGAGCACATCGTTTATTTACATCTATCATTCATCGATTACATCGAAATAAAAGTCATGCCTAAATGGGCTATGTGGTGTACTACTCTTTTAGAGTACAAAAAGGCGTAACGGATATTTTACTTGTACATGAACGCTCTATTTTCCGTTTCCAACATTGTCTTGTTAAAAGTTATATTCTTTACAGTCTACATATTTTATTGCATTAAACTGCATAAAACTGGGGATAAACAGGTGCTGCGAGCACTTCTTAATACTAATTGAACTAGTCAGTAATAAATTGCGTTTTGATGTGATATATAACTTTCAACTATGAAAACATCTATGCAAAATATATGCATTCCGACACTGTAGACTAGGATATTAGTTTGTAACTTCGAACGAACCTAACAAGCTGTAAATGTTATATTCGGTGGCATTAACATGGGTTAGCGTACCTTAGATAACTTCAAAGGAACTACCCCCCCCTCTCTCTCTCTCTCTCTCTCTCTCTCTCTCTCTCTCTCTCTCTCTCTCTCTCTCTCTCTCTCTCTCTCTCTCTCTCTCTCTCTCTCTCTCTCTCTCTCTCTCTCTCTCTCTCTCTCTCTCTCTCTCTCTCTCTCTCTCTCTCTCTCTCTCTCTCTCTCTCTCTCTCTCTCTCTCTCTCTCTCTCTCTCTCTCTCCATCGTGCGGCCTCACTATAACAGGTACCTAGTGGTTTAAGCTGATATAAACATACTATGATGTCATTAAATTGATAAAGTCCTGAAATTCTTTATTATGTCAAGACGTTTGCTTACACTTTGTTCGGCAATTACTGTTCACCCCTATAATTCATGACATGTGTTTGCACAAAAATAAGGAAGACGGTTCCCTACGTAGGCAATTAATACCAATCCTAAATTATTTTCATCTTATAGCTTTCAAGTAAAAAGACCCGTGGCTAAGTTTTTCAACTGCTTCCTAAATTGCACAGACCCTTAGAGGTTGAAATAAGATAAGATATTTTATCGGCTATGTAAACACACTGAGAGATATGGCATTTGCTATTAGTAAAGATTTTTTCTTCACTTTTTAATGGTTTAAGCTACGCACATTTGGTTTATATAACACATTGGGAATAACTGTACTTTAAGTCGCATACATTAAGGCTTTATCTAACACTCTCAGAGAACCCTTAACAATTTCTTATTTCAAGGTTTCCATTACACATTTACCCACCAAATATTACAACATGTGCATGACAGATCTTGTATTTAAAAGAGAAATCAGGTTTGTTTGAAATGGTTTCCAAAAAGTAATAAAAAGAATGTACGGTAGATTTTAATATTCATTTTTGTTAAAGGTATCCATTTGATTGATGTAGGAGCTCTTGTAATGTCACATCCGTCAAAAATATTTCTTATCCCTTCTTACACTACCAATTGATCGATGTAAGACAATAGTTAACGCCCGCACCCATCATATAAAAATATTTGTAATCCCTTCTAATCAATTTGACAATATTTTATTTTGTTTGTTTATAACATTTGAAAATTTAAGTTGATATTTCCAGAAACACATATTTTATTATTATTTAAAAAGAATGGTCAAACTCCTTATTTCCCAAAACAATTTACTTTATTTATCTTTTAATGTTTTACACTTAAGGCATGACCAAAACATAAATACAGAATAAAGACATCATATAATAACCTGTTTAATGTTTGCAAGATAACAGAGTGTAGATTTCACTTTATGATATAACAAAAATACTATGGAGAAGACATAAAAAGGTGGTAATATTTCCCGGAGAAAACCTAGATAAAAACAGAACCAGAACGGTCTTGCTTTCGCTTTATCTCTCACTTACTTCATAAACAGTTGTATCACAGACCTGATACTGGAATGCATCACTGCCATTCTGAAATGCAATATTTTCAGAACCACCACAGTCGATTGGCTTAGCGTACTTGCCTTTCCGTGTATTTTTGTAAAATTTCAAGTTTTGAATTATTTATGGATCTTTTGATTGTTATAGCCGTGACCTGTTTGGCGCCTTACAATGTTTTATATCTTTATATGTAACGAGATAAATGGTCCGTTAACACTTTTCTTGCCTTCATGGTCGTGTTTACACTCAGTGTTATGTTGGAGCGACATACCAATAGAATACAACAATGAAATTTCAGTATGACGTACTGTATCCAGAAAGCATCAAGAAAATACCATCATGTCAACATAATCATAATTCAACCTCAAATCCAATAAAACTAGAACAAAAAATTACAAAATAAGAATGATTTATATGGTATCAGTTAAATGTTTTATAGCAAAGATGTATCTAAGCCCGTTATCATTGTATCAAAATTAGATGTTTTAAAAGAACCATGCCAATGCAAAGGTTCATTCAAGAGTAAATTATCAACTTAACTAGACATAGGACTCTCGAGGGTCAACATCAGTTAAGTTTCTTTAGTAGCTAAGCTTATGATCGGTAGGAGAGTACTTAAAAACCAATTAGTGTCCTTGAATGCTCATTAACGTCTTGGAATTTTCAGTCCCATACTACATACTTGCAATATTTGGAATTAACTGGTATTGTTGTGTCTTGAACATAGGTTTTCCTACAAATGTTTCAGCACTATCGCGTCTACTACTTCTGTTTATAAGATATTTTCCACTGGAATAAACAACAACTAAGCATCTCCTATTTCAACAACATGTGGCGTGATGGATGTAATATTTTTTATGTTTCTTCTACAACTGTGCGTATTACGGATTCATATAATATATGTTTGTAAAGCCAATACTAGGTTGGTCTAGAACATCTACATCTATAGTTGGAACACACAAACTACATCCAATATGGACATAAATCTCTCCACTATGGAGTAACTCGACAGTGATAAAGGGGGATGGGGATACATTGACCTAGGGTTATCTTTTCCTGATTTGGATTGACAGAAAACAGAAATGTGTCAGCCGCTACTGTTGATGAGAAATAGGTCGGTTCTCTCAAGATTATTATGGACACATCTACGTCTATATTATAGCATATAGAATGCAACGCGTGTTTGTGGTAAAAGGTACTATTTTCGGAGCTTAAAGTCACAAATAATTGATAGGATTTGTAATTGTTTATGTATTGCACCAGGATGATACCTTACTAGCAAGCGTACAGCTAGTGTGGTGCTGTCAAGTGTTATCGGTATAACAGTTGCATGTGTGGCCTGTCATGTTTATGTAGCATAACTCATGATCATGCAGTAAAACATGTCATTCCAAAGCAATAGATGATGTAGTGTGAGTGTCTGATGTTTTTAAGTCAGCTAAGTACTAACTACTTTTCAACAATGGAATATACTTTATCATAATGTTTTGATTTCCCCAAATCGGCACAGTCAATATATATATTTGTATACACTCCTTTGTTCAACTGCAATGTTGGTCGGTTTTTGGATTAATTTTTAACTATATTATGACAATACAGAAGTAGTGGTAGTTTTATTACTTGATAAAGTTTTTTTTTCGCCTACCATGAATTAAGTTCATGTACATGTATGAAATATGTCAAAATTCACCTAATTTAAAAATCAAAATCGAATAATGAGTATACTTTCTGGAATCCATCCTCGACAACAATGTCTTAAACATGATCTGCCTATTTATTTCTATTTATTCAACGTTACATTAAGCGACATCCATTGTGTTGCCGAGGAATATCACAATTGTATGCCTATGGCAATTAAGACTGAGCCATTCCTAGGTAAAAATGTACTATGGAACCGTCTGAAATGTTCAATACATCAGGAAATGACGCGTCCAACTAAATCAATATGTCTATCTTCTCTGCAGATCTCTGTAACATTTAAAATTCCGTCTACATGAGCAAGAACGGGACATATCATTTTTAGTGCGTTTAGATCTAGTTGACGTTGGAATCATCACCATAGGTACACAACAGTTATAGAACAAATGCCTGGTACCAATCTTAGTGCACAGACGCACGAAAAGAAAGCATCATCAGAATTCTTGCATATTTCCTCTGCACCTCCAGGATACATTTACGAATTCTTTCCGGTATTTGAAACTTAATAGCACTGAATTTATATTTATCTTGTACATGCATTGGTTATATTAGACATATTTTGTTGATAAAAGTAGACTTATATTTCAGAGCAAAACATTGCTTGAATGAATGGCTCAGTAGACATTACTTGTACACTGGTATTTGGAGACTGTGGCTGTGTTTATGTTATAATAGATATAAGAATTTCAAGAGACGCATAAGAAGTATAATCTTGTGAATTTAATCAAAACATAATTCGAAGTACTTAAATCGATTCCAACGCATTATAGATGAGTTAAACTCCGTATAACGCGCTCCATATCACAAAACACAACACTGAGTGCAGAATACTTCATCCTAATTCTTGCCAGGAGTACATGATACTAGATTGACTAGGAGGGTGGCAAACTGGAATAAAATCCAACTCGATGCTCCTGTCAGTGTAATTGACCATAAGAGAATAACATGAAGATTGAGATCTGTATACGCAGGCCTCTACTTCTAAACCTAGTCTCATATCAAAACAGACACTGCCCTTGTAGGGTGTTCATTGCTAGATTCCAATGTATAGTTTTCATGTTTCTGACTTAATATGATAATACGGGAACTTAACCCTTTTTAATGTTTCATAATTCAAAGTCTGTTCGCTCTAATGTTCTTTATTGTTACTTTGTCCTGATTATGTTGAAGCCGTTGTGTGTTTTGCTTTTGACAGTCGTCTCGAATCTGATATTCTTTTTATTAATCATCTGTCAGTTAATGTGGGTTATATGCCGCTACGCGTGTTATTCAATGACTTCTTCGTCTTTGCGAATGTTGCTCCAAACGACACGACCGCTGCCTTCTAAACAGTTACTGCAATCTCCGATGCACAGGTCATGTACAATACCACGAGCAACGGCGTGTCAGTACTGTTACCTTTGTATAAGTTCTGTCAGAGCATTCACTGCCACACAGATACAAAAACAATACATACCTGTCAGGTTGAGCAACACAAGATTTACTGTTGCAGACATGTGCTCATATTTTTCCTTCAAATTCTAAAATAACGTTAATTGTTTTTCGGGTTAAATTTAACCAAGACAATAAGAAAATTATCTAAAGTATGCAAAATGATGTATTTTTTATAGAAATAACTTCTTTAGCATAACTTTGTAAACTAGAAATATATTGTGTTTAACATTGACAACGGCCAGAACCTTAAAATGTTCATAAGGAAAAGTGTTTTTGGCCTAGAAAAGGCTTTTTAGGTACACAAACTTACTGAAACATTTGTCGATAAGAATATCTTCGTCAATCATACATTGAAAAATCCAGATAATTGCTGTGAATGTTAACACACTATTAAAATTGTCATTTGAATCTTTCAGGAAATGTCGGTTGGAAGGTGACCTCCAGAAACGAGCAGGCCGTCCCAGTGAGGTCGTTTACTCCATTATGGGAGTGAACGGTGGAATAGAGAGTGGGGTCATCACTCCAGCAGACATGCTTTCATTTGCAAGACAAGTTGCCATGGCAATGGTAAGAATTTTTCGTAAAACATTTGCAATGAAACGAGACAAAAACTTTCCCCTCTCTGTATTCTTGAAATTGTATTTGTATGCCACACTTTTTTTCTATTGGTGTTTTATGTAGCATTGTATTTGAAATACAAAACGTTGAGATGTATTATTGCCGGTTATACAAGAAGTTTATGTTGTATACTTGAACATTCAACAATTTGTGTACCACACCCTACATCAAAATAAAACACATCATCTGAGCTTGACCTCCTCCGGTTGTAATACATGCGCAACTACCTTCCTCCTAGGCTCTTAGACACCCATTCCTCCTCCCTACAGTGCAATGTAGATTTACTGCAACCCACTAAAAGTCAGCTGGTAGATCACTTAGAAGCTGTTAACTTTCTTTGTTTGGGAGATTATGTAGCCTTAGGATTATCTCACCAAATGGTAAATCAATCATGGGAGTTCGGCATGTCAGCCTTACTCATTTCTGTGCCAAACGAGATTCGCTTCACCATCCATGTCATACGTAATTGCCAACAGTGAGTCTTTTTTTCTCTCGACACATAAAAAGTTGTTACGAAATAAAAATTGGACAATGTTATAAGGTACATGTGGATGGCAGTGAAAGATTTACAGTTTTCAAAGGAGAAAAAGTCAAATAAATCAAACGGGTGTTGTGGCATTCTTCTTAATGTTTGCACCTGTACGTCGTTTTTACCTGTGATTATTAGGTGCATTCATACTTCTACAATTCAACGGTAATCTCTCATTGAAAACATGCTATTTTTAACACGTTTAATGACTCAGATCAGTTGAAATGAGAAGGAGGGATATAGAAATACTAGTACACAGACATGTTTACATTTATAAGGGTTTCGTTTATTGCTGTTTTCACCAACTGAAACAGATTTAGCTTGGTACTTCCTGTGTATTTGGCCAAGGCTCAAAAATTGTTCCAAAGGAAAATAGAATCCAGCTAAGTATTTGTGCAATTTCTAATGTAACACATTTCGCAGCATTGTGCAGGATTATAGTCAGCTGAATTTGTATTTCAAAAACGATATCCCGTTTGGAATACTGCTTGCAATTCAACAGTTAGATTGAATCCTTACTGAAAGCGCGAGTTAAGCTAAATATATATTTCAGTACAATTGGTAATCAGACAAAACTTAATTCTTGTCCAAATCCGCACCACACTGACAGCCTATCCGCGTAAGTGCATACAGAATATCCTTGCAAATTGCTTCTAAATAGATCATAAAACACAGAAAAAGGGCCGTTATATGATGGTCAGTCCATCAGTTTGACCGACCGACCGTCAGATTTTTGTTCGCACTGTTGTTCGAATGATGAAATTTATACATATTTTCAGGATTATCTTAAGAGAAACAATACGCTATGTCCTATTCTGGTCTTTATTTGTTTCCATTTGTTTGCAAATGAAGACACTTTGGTCGCATCTGGCATGAATTGACATTAAATATATATAATAATGATCATGCAAGTATTGATGTGTAAGGCGGAACTTGTTATTAAGGAATTAGAGAATGGTTAATAAAAGCACTGAAAAGATATTGCTATACAAAGGTTATCGCTGCTTCTGCCAACTAATTACTTTTGTTTATCACGCTTTCAAATATATCGAAAACAGATGTTTGTAAATTAGCAGGTGTTGTTTAGAGATTCATCATACATTTTTCTTAAAGGTGCATCCAGGTGATACCGAAAAAATACTTCTATTCACTGATATAAGGTTATAATCGCAATTGCATAGCATGTCTCGTACGTAAAACCACTTTCATGGCATTTAAATTCGATACAAATAACGCAAGATTGTAGGTCAAAGGTCGTATTTTGCTTTCACGCCCAATGAAATTCATTTGATATTTGGCTACAGATGTCATAGTAAAGACTGTTTAGTGGTTGATGTATCTAATGTGGAATCATGGACCATTTATCCTAAAAAGTAAACTCTTCGTTTAAGTACGAGAAGACTAATGAATCATTTTTAAACATTCCCTTTAAATGAGGACATAAACTACCCTTTATACTGACGACAAACTCATGTTAATTTAAAAACCATTGAATCAGAAATATCGGCAGAAATGCATCCAAAGATATAAATGTATGAAGTTGAACCACACACGACCCGTTCTATATGTAGAATGAGGACAGACATCTATATTGCTTTATCTCTATTTATTTCCCAGGAATATTTGTCTGAGAAGAAATATGTCCATCGTGATTTGGCAGCCAGAAACATTTTACTAGACTACAATAAGGTGGTCAAGGTTTGTGACTTTGGTCTGTCGAGAGACATCTACAACGACAATCAGTATCACAAAGTGACCAGCGGAAAATTACCCCTTAAGTGGATGGCCATAGAATCCTTGAGAGACCGTATCTTTACCACTCAGAGTGATGTTTGGTCGTTTGGTATTCTTCTATGGGAAATCGTAACCATGGGTGAGTGCGGTCGTATATTATTATTTTCAATGTGTAGAAAAGTATCCTATTTATCTTTCACTGCACATTTTTCTTGACACTTCGGTTATTTCAATCATTTAAATCACGAACCATAAACTTTTTAAAACTGCTTTTCACTAAACGTAACACTAACAGATAAGACACTGATAGGGTGACGTAACACAAAACGATTTTTTTCTTTGTACAAGAAGTAAAAACGAATGCCATAAGATGGTAACATTCCAGTGATAACTTGTACCTTGCACTTTTAACATAAATTAGTTCGACATTTTTATGTAGAACGCATGTCTAAATATATTTTTATTGCAGTGAAATATGAAAAATAAGTCAGCTTCAGTCTGTCTAAAATGTAGGTTAACAAGAAAATAGTTGTAACGTATCATGAGGTATTTACGTTGGCATGTGAGCAGACAGTTGCATTATAAAGATAGATTTATAGCCAAGGATGTTGCATCTGTCTGCAGATTATAGTAATTGCAAGCGACTTTGTCGAGGTTTAAGAGAGAGATAGAGAGAGTTTGGTGCTAAGTGATATGCCACTGATCGTTTAATTGTTTTTGTTTTATAAAATAGGCGGCTCACCATATACCAACATAGCATTGGCAGATCTTTACTATGTCCTGGCGAACGGTTACCGAATGGAAAAGCCAAGCAATTGCTCAAAAGAATTGTAAGTATATCCAATCCAATAGAGAGTAGGTATAATCTCGCGTGCTGTATTGCAATCAGAATGCTATTTTTGTAGCACTCCTGACACTTTTGACTTAGAGTTGTATTATAATATATTGTAAGGAAGGCGAACCAAAATTACGGAAAATAAGCCAAGTGTGTTTGTCGGTTAAAGAGAATTTTATTTACAGTATCTGTATCAACGAGAATGCAACAGAGCAATCGTAGTGTCGGACCAACAATGTATTGACAGTCAGTTGTCAGACGTTTGATAATTTCCCTCTAAACAGTCACTTAGTAGCTAGAAAATTTGAAATTTGAAAACAATAATATGTTTAAGAATGCAGCCTCTTGTCCCTAAAAAATTCAAAGGATCAAAAACAAACAAGAAAAAACCCACACACAAAAAAAGGAAAAAAAAAAAAAAAAAAAAAAGGATATATATATATCTTTTTCTTTTATCAGTGATATAATTTTGTGTCCTTTTTGTTGAATCCATTAAATGAATAATCTGTAGCTCACATGTTTCGAGTACCTTCAAATGAGAATTTCAGTAACATTAAGTAACTATTGTTCAGATCTTATTGATAAGCACAGAAAGATTGTTAAACGGTATTTTATTTAGAATTTTAATGTGAAAAACACAGACACCTTTACTTTCGTTTTGAAACTTTTCTGACAACTGTTGACCGTGATGTTTATGACATTGTTAAAATTTATAGAAATCAGACTGTTTACAATCTCTAGGTTATCACGATAGAAATCGACGATAAAAGAAGAGTAGCATAAACATAATCTTGTGCAATTGATACTTCGTGAACAACTGTGCAACCTTAGGTTTATATAGCAGATGGAGACGATGATTTGGCAAAGCCTTGTCAGCAATAACTGCAGAGACGATATCATTTGATCGGCTCTATTTTACACAAATACCTATAACACCAGCAAATAAATTCTTCCAAAAATTATCTAAATCGTCTTTAGATTAAGATAATGCCTCGTGTACACGGCTCCACCTCCTCCGACATTGGCAGCTGTTGTCATGGCGGCATTCTATCTCTGGCAGGTGTCTGTCGGTGTACAGCATTTCCTCTTGCAAATACCCAGGCAAAATTGTAATCACCCTGAGAATGGCTATATATCAATAGGTCTTCCTCCTGTCAACTCCTGTCCCAAATGATATTGTTTGTCATCATAATTTCGTTCAGAGAATAACATTACTGCAGCAACCGCTGATCGCCAGGTAAATGATACGAACGTTTGGGGTTAAAGTCGTAGTTATCCTATTTTTAATTACTGACAACACACATTACACAATACATGCGTCCATTTCTTTAGGGTTTTCAAAATTGATTACAGATTGACAGGTTCTTTCTCAAACAAAATTAATGGAAACTCTTTTTCTGTAAGTCAATATTTAGATTCACTAGTTCCTTTTTAGTTTTAAAACATCTGATAACAGTTCGTGATTAAGTTTAGAGACAGAAACCCTTAACTATAAGCAGTCGACGTGCTTTACTCTCCTTGTACTGTTTACATGAGTCTTTGTGTAAATCATTTGTTTGTACATATCTTACCCTAGTTTTACTGAATGTAATTTTGGATTAGGGTTCTTTTTTAGATATGTTTTTTCCCTTTTGTTTTAATCAAGTCGTAATTTGTTGGGGTTCATATCAAAAAGTGAAACGCTTCGAACAGACAATTTGCTATGCATGACGTAGTCAGTAAAGAAATAAAGTAAAATCACAAGTATTATGTACCATAGAACGACCTATTAACGATCATATTCAAATGCAGGTTATGTATATTGTAAAAGGTTTTGATTCGAATTTTGATAAAACATCTGTATATATATTATCAACAAATTCATGATGAAAGTGTGATCAAAAGCATATCATGAACAAAGGTGCACCAAAGTTTCCTTTTAAACGTACATGAAAAGGAAAAATAAAATTATTGTGTATCAAGTCTTGAACGAATTTTCATTTCTATGTGTTATTGCCTAGAATAAATCTTATTTTCAACCCACATATTTTTTTCTAAATGTATTCCTCTATCTTGACCCCAGAAAGTAAACCAGACAAGTTAAGAAAATAGACATGTACATTAACTGTTCCTAGTCTATACAAGTTCAAACTAATTTGAAATTTTCTCTTGATGAACAGAATATGTATTTCTGTTGGAAATCTTCCAAACAGTTCTTCCATTTGATAAAAATTGATGATTTGCCAGAATTTTAGTAATGACACCAGACCAGTACTTCAAAGAAACTACAGCCTGCAGTACCGGTACCTCGGCAGATTCATGTGCTAGATTTCACTTCTGTAGCAAAATACCGTCCTCCGTTTAGTCCAGGACCGCGTCATTACGTTTTGTTTTTTTAAGATTGTACAAAATTTACTTAAAAGATATTACAAAATCTTCTGATCACGAACTAAGACACAATGACTGAAATACTAAATGTATTGAATTATGGGAATAATACACATCCCGGTCAAGATTTCGACATTTTCCGATTGTCTGGATTTTCCTTAGTCGGCTCCCAGGCTTCAAAATTAAGCCCCTTAACATCAGTGACGAGTCTCCGGAAGAACGCAATAGATTTAATTCATGATGCGGTTTAGTTCAATGTTTATATATACTGTATCAAGCTTTTCAATGTTATTGAAATGTGTTTTTCACTCATGCGTCTATTGTACACTAAGCGAAGAAATAGGAGGATACACATTTATTTTTTAAAAGTTCTTTTGTTGTCTGTTGTACTTGTACAAAATATTGAACAACATTTAAATGTTTCTTATATACGAAAACATACGCTAGTTACAATACAATATCAATGCGTTTTTGGTTGAGCAAACAGTAATGATAGAATTGATCATTGGTAATGCGAATAGATGTTTCCATAATAAGCAAACATCTTATTCATTTAAATAAAAAGATCCCTATTTATCAGAAACGAATATCATACGTCATTATCTGATCTCTTTTCTCTAACATAGACCTGTTTCGGAAACCTTATTTCAAGATTTTTTTTATCTTGCAGATATGCTATAATCCGTCGCTGTTGGATGGAGTCTCCGTCCGAGCGGCTAACATTTTCTGGTCTTCGTGTGGAGATCGAGCAACTCCTGAGTCGGGACCGGGACTATCTGGAGCTAGAAAACATTGACGTGCCCCTTTCCACGTCGGAGACTAGTAGTATTCCTAAATCAGAAAACGATACTATTTCTCTGTTAACGGGACGGTCAACGCAACCACAAAAATCAGTGACAATATCATTACCTCCTCCAGAGTCCCCGACGGGAGTTGTGTTAGTTGAAAAGTCAACTGAGTGGCTGATTCGGGGTCGGGATGAGGAGACAATGTCCTGAATGATTTCTTTCTTGTGTTAATTTACCCAGTGTTCACCACAGACCAAAGTTGCTACACCTGTAAAGGCGCGTTGGGATTAACGTTTTCCTGAAAGTTATCTAAAATATCGACGAAACTCAAAACAAACAATTACCCAACATCTCTTTGAACAGGATGAGGGAACCTGCAAAACAAAATGTGATATAATGATATTAATTTGCCGTGACGCAGACAATGTAATATCAAGAGTCGTTAAGCAGTTATCTACTGTAGCCGTGGTAAGAAAACAGTTTTGTAAGACAGGGTACAAAAGGCAGGTGTCTGTCTTTATATTGACACTTGGACCACCGTGGGAATGCAGGGAATAACATGAAGTCAAATTTCCTATAGACGGACAAACCTGTGTGTCAATTTATAGTTGGCATGTGTTGTGAGGGCAAAACATGTCTCATGTTGGACCATTATCTTTGTGTTAAATGTCTGTGCAATGGACACATAAAACAAGCACAAATTGTTTCTCAAGTGGTGTTCTTGCCACTGAAAGACGATGTTTCTTATTATTGTTTAATTGATTGGAGGGAACTAATGTAAAAAGCGCACAATGTTGGGTAAGTGCACTCGTTAAAGCAATAGGTCATTAAATAAAACTATCATTAGTTCATAATGTAAACAGAAATGACCAGTTAAAGGAAATATAGATAATTTAACAGTGTCTTTGCTGCCTTTCATGTTTAGCTTTTGTTCATGGGAAAGAGTTTTGGGTAGGTTCTTATTTCATCTCTTTGAATCAAACAAAAGAGTTTTTTCAGGTAAACAAAGAAAATTGATAAAGGACCAGCTCCATGTATCTTCCGAGACCTTCTACTATGTTGACAGTTTTTGTAAAACAAAAAAATCTGGAATTCTCCTTGTCCCTTGTGAGTTATCAATTGCCGTAATTTAGGTATAATTTATTACGTAGGAGCACTTTTCTGTTTAGATTTTTTCTTTGTGGTAATTACCGAATGGTTTGGGGAGCTGGAATCCTCACACGCTTGCTACAGTCTTCACGGAGATGTAATTTTCTACATGGAAGCCGTGAAAAAATGAAAATAATTATAAAATAGAACATAGAATCATGTCTTACATCAAAACAAGGTGCAGCTTGGTTAGTTACTCCGTACTGTGTGTAATATAAATTTCAAACAACAAAGCCGTGTGTAGCAATGGTTTTCATAAATTATACGTTGGAAACAATTGGAATATGTACTTAAACCTATTTTTGTAATTATGTTTGGATAGGGGCATTCCTAATTATATGTTTGTCTGTTGAATCTCCTGCTGGCTCTTATGGCATGTTCAAAGCCTTACCTGAATAATAGACGTCAGATGCTTATCAAATTTTGTTAAGAGTTTCAAACTTACTATCAAGGAGAACAAACGCCTATAAAATGCCTGTATAGATTCAGAACTAAATATTTTGAATAGATATGTTCGATAATGTAATGCAGATACTGTTGTGTTCTTATTATAGTGTTTTAAGGATAATGGTATGTCTTGTTCTGTATATTTCTGTGAAAATTGTTATGTCCATATTGTTTTATGTTTTATGTGTATATATGATGGATATTTATTTTGCAATCTCAGGTAGAATTCATTGAATAACGTGTAAAACATCACGATTGAAATGGCAATTCGAACGACAATGAATTGTGTCAGTCATCTTAATCCCTCATGTTAGTTGCAATGTACGTTGTTTAATTTTTACTGTAAATAATTAACCACAGATGTTGCACTTGCTTCATGGAACCATTTCAAAAAGTATCTGTCGGATCTTTTATAATGAATCAAATCTTATATGTCAGATGTTTTCTATAGGCTGTTTCTTAAATACAAGATACTAGATATTTCCCTAATTAAACATATCGCAGACAAATGTAAGCAAAGCGATAAATGATTAATCTACATTGCAATTATATTTTATTAAATGTCATGGTAACAGTTAAGTACATTTTATACTAAAGTAGAATGACAGCTCAAAAACAGAATCTGTTGTTAATTCCATATCAAGTGTACAAAGGACAGTTTGCATCATTGCTTACAATGTGTAAATTATATACAAATGTTATTTAGTGTATACCGCTGTTGTTAATTTCAATGCTACGGTTATATCTTGATAAAGTATAGCTAAACGGTACATATACAGAATGAAAGTTGATGTCTGCATTTGAATTTTAAGTAAATTTGATCTATTTTGATACACACAAAAAAAAACTTTTTGAATTAGATATTTCCATTCCAATATTCGATTTTTCTATTATTCAACGTGAAAAAACTATCAACGTTCTCATATTTCATCAGAGGTGTTTATTCTGCTTAAAGGTCCATTATGCTCGAGACACTTGATATCTGGTAGAAATATGTTGCATATTCTTAAAATTGAATATCTCGTAGAAGTTTCTACCATCGTAGTTCTTCTTATCACCGACCGTTACAAACTGATGCCAAACTTCTCCAAAGTCTATCCACTTATCTTTATATTTCAGATAATTAAATGGGTGTCGAGCAATTTGTGATAAGCGGTTGTGTTTAAAATTTTATTAATATATTGTTAGTTATTTTCTTGGGAATTGTCCAGAAGTAATTAGTGTAGTCTTTACTAGATATTACAGTGTCTGTGACCTTGGCCATTCTTTCTTAACAATATCATTTATTATCACCAAGTCTTTAACAAATTCCTACGGCACAGCAGCAGTTGAAATTCTCACTGTCGTTGTAAATGGGATTTTCAGATAAAAGTGTTCATCAAAAGAAAAGCAATTTCAAAACTGATATACAAAATATAGCCTTGAATGTATTATCATTATTTGCCCGTCAGCTGAATATTCGGTTATTTTAATTTTACGATAATTGCATGGACTCTGAGTTTTGATAATACAAAAAATAATGCAAATAATTTATGTTATAAAGATTAAAAAAAGAAATGTTATATCGGTCATTTGTGAATTTGATCTTATCGCATTGAAAATTATAGACCATTATTAACAAATCCGCGACGTGAGTCAAACATTGTTTTAAACAAACATAACTGCGTAACAATTTTAATTGGTATGAGTCTGGATATAAATGAGACGATAATTTTAATTGGTAAAGTGAATATAAGGGAATTTTAAATGAAAGCAACATTGATAATTGATGTTGAATCATTCTCTTTGTATTGAGAATTTATTCAAGGTTATTGTCATCAAGTAAAGCACAATGAGTCAGTGTTTTTGTGGTAGTTGTATGTTACTTGCTCATACAATAATTCTCGGAGTATGTTGGAAAAGGCAATAACACAGAGGGGTGAGTCAGTGGCCTCGCCATATGTTGAGATGTCTGCGTCTAAATTATGTTTAATTATTATTGTGTCTGTTGGTACTATCTTCACTCGCTTTAAATAAATATCTCCTTTTCTCCTTAGGCAAAGCACCCAGAAAATGACGTCATAGAAACTAAGATTCACTATTCCTATCTCGTATCACGCACTTAAACTGCAATTTAGACATCTAGTGTATTGCTGTATCAACTTAGGTACCACCAGTACTGGATTAATACCTAATTTAAAACAAATACAAAAAAAATAGTAAAACAACCGCTGAAGTGAGAATATATAAACAAGCACGATTACGTTAACCAGGATAGACCATATTACTGAAAGTCGTCATGTTTTCTATCTGGTATATTAGCGCCAACTCGTCAGGTAAATTACAATAGAACTAAACAACAAACTTATCACCCTTTATTTGGTTTCTTATATAAAGGGAATATTTCAGAAATGAATTATTTTATTGTTATCAAAATATGTTAACGATTTTTAAGAACATGGTCCAATCACTCACCCAAAGAATTCCAAAATCAGCCTGTTATCTTCCCAGAGCATATAAAACATGTTGCAAATGAGCCGCAACGTTTCTCCTGATATTGCTGTGAATATTTTTAGTAATATATGTGTGACTGCACGTGTGTGAGAGAGATGATATGTGGGTATAAGGTACACGTTACAATTCTAAACGAGGGATGATATATATATACATGGCCAGTATGATACCCATGTAAATAAACACGCATTTTATTGGTTCAACCATAGTCCTATATTTGTCCACTTGTGCGCCAAAGTTATTGATGCCGTCCTTTCTGGCAGCTCACGACTGCCGTAGTTTACATTTTGATGCCAGTGTTGGGCTATCATATACAACATTTTGTATAGTTATGGTCGGCCTTTTAGTGCTGACGTATGTTATTATGTTGCTGTTAAAGCTTTGAATCATGTACATATGTCACAATATCATCATGTGATCTATTTATAAATGAATTGTCCGAGTAAAGCTACATAAAATGTTTGAAAACTTGACTTTGAAGTATTGTCTTTATTTTGTCTATTATAAGTCAAATGTTCGTGACCAGTTACCTCGAGAGAAAAAAAAGTGTTGTGGTTGATATGATTGAACACGTTTATCGAAGAGCTTATCAAAACAAGTCACAAAGACCTCGGAGAGTCCTGAAATTTCACTCTCAGATACATTGATGACGTCTTGGTTTTAGACAACAATATATTTATTGACCATATCCATAGCATATACTCACCAGACTCTTCCACATTAGGCGCTTATCTCAATCTTTTCCTACCAAACAACATGGACTGCATCCACGAAGCTATATACTTAATGGTTTCGATTTCACTGTTGTTAATTTCCCATTTCTGAATAACAACATTCCTCCATTCCATCATGTGTTGTCTAAATTTCCCATTTGATTCGATATTCACGGGCCTGTTCCTAATATCATGACTTTCGTGTAAGATATCAGCTGATGACACAGGACTCTGAGACATACAAGTTGAGAAAAATTATTGATGAAGTTTTATGATCGTCACGGTCATTTCATTGAGAAATATTAATTTTTTTGTACGATATGAAACTGGACATGCTTACCTTGTTTTCATTTGAGAAAGTGGCCAATATTTACATGGTGGATGTCGTTGATGAAGCAGACGGCGCTTACACTTCCGGAACTCCTGATCTTATGTTCAGCAGTCTACATGTAATTATTTATTCTGTTCCTATTATGATTGAATTTGAGTTTGGATTTTGTCCATATGTGCGTTTTTAAACACTGATGCCATGACTATTTATGGAAAATAAAACACTTCCGATACGTCAATCGATAGTGTATCTATCCCACATATGATCATCATTAGCTTACAAGAAAACCATATCTCAAGTATCAATAAACGACTTATCACAATAAGTACAATAACAACGCCGTCTTGTCAACAGAATCTTAATTCAACGGTTAAAGTTTTATCTTCATCGACGACGCCTGTCATGTAAATATTGGTATATTAAAGTAAGTAATGCCATGTTCCCGAATAAGAACAAAGTAAAAAACAATATAACCAACAGGTCATTCTAACGAGTATCAAACATGTCCAATTACATACCGCACAAGATTTGTTTTCAAGTGATATCATTGTGAATACCGTAAAATTTCCCCATTACCTTCACGAATCTGCATCTTTCGAAACGTTGTGTTATTAATTTGCTTTCAGTTGCCGTCATCCTGGAAGAAAACCGTGATATTTGCAACAACTTCCATAAACATATCATATTAATGGATATTATTTTCCCATGATCTGCTACATTCACTATGTGAAATGTTTTATGAGATTAACAAACTCGACATTAGGACCCGTATGTTGTTCTCACACTAAACTTTCCTTAGCACGAATACAATGCCAGTCGTGCTTCTAAATCTGGATTGCTTCTCAATGTGGTCTTCAGCTGTGACGGTTACAGGTCTGTTGGTAATGGATATGAACGTGTCCTTCGAGTCTGTGCATTGAAGCTTTCACGCGGGGTGCAATTTGCACAATATTGGGCCATCCCTTACATGCAGGTTCATAAATGACAGCAAAATCAGTTGATCAGAACAGTTTGGACGAATGTTTAAAGTAGCATGCGATGTATATAAAACAAAAATGATAAAAGACATTTTATTGCCGTAGTTTTTCCTGAATTGATACATGTATCAGAACTATCCGAAATTATTTCACTAGAAATTGTCACCAGAAACTGAAACTGCAGAGGACGTTGTGATATGTAATTATATACATCCAATAACGTACAGTACTACTACATGTTACACACAAGAACTGTAAAAGCTTCAAAAGCCAGAATAGAACAGGAATAACTGTACAGACAAGATATGTCTATGTCACCACAATAGTTTCAAACAGTTGGGGGAGGGGGCGGGGGCGGGGGGCTATAAATGAGTTCGTCGGTCTCAAAAAGGCAGACGATACAGAAACTACAGGCGTTAAGTTGAGATTTATGGTATTAAGTAAAAACCTACATATCAGAGAAAAAGATTGTAAAGAAAATAAAGCAGGCAGCTTCATGTTCTTTAGTGTACATTGCAGTATTGTAATTTCAAAGTGCCGACTTTGATTTGTTCGATGTTCTGTCGTTGATGGAAACTGAAGACGGTGTCCATTCCGGAACGTTTATTTGTATCTTCCATCAGCCTCAGTATTAAAATTTCATATATTCTTAGTTATATCATTCCATAAATATTTAGATACAGTGTATGGTTAAAGCCTAATACGGGATGAAGAGACTTCATGAAAGGAGAAATCTGGGAAAACTATAACTGCAGTGTTCTCAACCGATCTTTTACTGTCCATAACATATTCGAGTTATCCAAATTTATATTGATTACTTATTTAACAAATTGAGGACGATTTTACCAAATGGCATTGATCACATAAACATAATTAAAACTTTTAATTAAAACCTTATCAACGAGAGATTGAGATTGATCAAAGTGATCATATGGGAAGGAAAAATTCCAAAGCATGCAGCGGACCAGGGTACACAGGAGCTATAGGGATATATACGAGCTGCACGAACTGTGCTACCGACACACACAACTTGCAGGTGCCTGTAATATCTTAAGTATTTCACGATCAGCAGGGTTTGAAGTCATGTAAGGGTTTCAAATTACTAATAACGTTCAACATGTTCTATTACTATCAAGAAGTGTAAAGATGAACATCGTTTATTAAAGGATGTGCTTGTATATGTCTTGTATGCTTAACCTAATCAAACACTGTTTTCGTTTTGAGTTTAGGACATCATAGTGATGGAGGTTGTCTCGAAGTCACTACTGAAAATAAAACACAACAAGTCTTAAAGTCAAGCACGACATAAAACCATATTCACTTAACCCAGCGACGAAAATTAAGTAGCAGAATTAGAATCTCTACTGGAACCAGATATGTTACGTCCCAGTCAAACATATGAAATCAAATTAAGAAAATTAGTAGTAAATGCTTTGTGCCTTCTCATTCTCGTACACGTAATTACATCCATATAATCCTTCCAAGAGAAAAAAATAGACGGTTCCTACATATCTACGGCCCAACCTGGATTAGGGAATCTACTTCAACGCTTTAATTTGGTACATCATTGCAGGAGGGGGATTCTGAGTTGATTTTCAGTCTCCCAATGATATTAACCTCTACTCATTAGTTTTACTGACGTCACAAACAGCATTCCTGCTATCGTTGGAGGGTTTAGAATGTTCCGGCAATATCATGCCTTTGATTGTCGTAGCGTTGGCATGCTATTTTATCTACCACCTGTGCTACGGGTATTAAGAATATGTTTGAGATCATTTAAATTAAAAGAATCGCTTGACCGATGCAGGTGATGTCTTTTGGCGTTTTTGGGACATGTGAACTAATTATGTCACCATAGTTTGGAGGTTAGAAAATGAAAAACGAGACAATTTCATACGCATTGTGCTCTTTTGCCTTCCGCAAATAGTCGCAGCTGGTCCACCTTCACGCAGCTTCGTTACAGTCGATCGTGCTATGTAAGAGAGTATAAACAGCACCGGAGGTTAACAAAAACGAAGGAAAGGTTGCCCTCTGAAACAATACATTGCTATAGGTATCATATGAGTTTCACTTGTTATAAGTGATTTTGACGAGAGGAAATATTTCAATGTCTGGCTTTCAAATCGTGATGGAAAGGACCAGGTGATATTAGGAGCTCGAGGTGAATTTTGATCCTTAATAAAGAAACCTGTATCCATTGATACTGTTATTTTGATCAGCACATCAAACAGGACTCGCGCGTATCATGCAGAGCTGATGGACGAGTTGAAACACGTGCTTTTCATTTTTGTTTGCGCTGATTTTTTGTTATTATTTTATTGTCACATTCAGTACCAAAGGTATTTCCTACTTCAGCATGAAGAACGTTAATGTCGAAAGTATAGACAGCACTTTCAAAGAATGTTTAGCTTCTTTTGTTCCATTTAAATGTATCTTATCACGAAATGCATACAGAACATGTGATTTAGTCTATGCAACACAACAAAGATGATCCTCTGCATTATTTATAAAGTGTAAATGTTTGAAACACGAAAAAGATGGTTCAGAAATAATGAAATGGAAAAGCCATGATATGCTCTATGCTATTTTAAAAATTATTTTGAAGGCCTTTGAAAACGGTAAAAATACTGGAATTAATCCATATGGTAAAGAATTTAAATTTTCGTTTGATGAAATAGAAAATTACACATGTTGTTTGAATCGTTTACCCGCCCAGACATCATCATCTTCCCCTCAGATCCGCCATTGGACAGCTGGAACCGATTATCGGAAAGATACATTTTAGATTTGGACCTTCACCCACATCTGGACGCAATGGTCGTCAGTTTAAAAACGCGATGCATTACGTAGCGGGGCGGTGGAGCACGCTGCGTACATTAGACATGGCCATTTCACGTCAAATGGACGGTTGCTGTCCATACTGTAATCACAGTGTTTAAAGTCTTTGTGCGAGCCGTAATTCATTTCCAATATAGCTGGTGTTTCTTACCCCAACAGCTTTGTTCCAGATGGAGATAATCTGAATTTAACCGTTTTCAGTTGAAATCGTTCCATTTTTTACCTGGCTGTCTAAAGTTGTGTTTTTTCGCTTTACCTCCCAAAAGTTATCTAGAAACAGGTGTGTTCTTGAGGCTAAGCAGGTGGAAGGATCCTAACATCTTTATCACCTAATGTGTTTTTTTTTCTTTCTACGTGTTAATTCGCACGTAATGAATGTCAAACGAAAAAGAAACTTTCTTTCCTGGGTTTGATATTCCGATGTACGTAAACGACTTTTTTATTTATCAATTTTTTTCAAGTGATCAAGATTTTTTTGTTATGTTCGTAAAATCGTGAGAGATTTACAAACAACTTTAACATAGGGTATTGAATAAAGGCTTTGAGATCTTCACTTTGACATTATGACTTTTTATTTTTTCCCATCGGTTTACAATATATGTATTTTATAACAA